TCAGTACCAAGCTCTCTGTAGCCTGAAACAGAAACCAAACTCAACAGCCATTAGATAAGGCAAGGGTTTGGAAGTGCTGTCTATATATAAAAATACTTCTTCCATGCAGAGCGATATGCAATGTTGAGTATTGTTAATGGAAAATTGGTTTAGAAGTAACAGATTGATGGACACCTTAAGCAAGTTAAATATTAAAACACCTTTTTAACTGAAGTTTAATAGCAGATATATAAGCAGTACTGGGAAGAGTAAAGCTTCAAAATTATACATTTGTGCTGTACTGCCTTAGTGCTGGATTGTTTCAGACTTTGGTTTTAGGTGTTTGTGTGAATGTTTTGCAACAACAAATTCCCTCCTATTAATAATTCAAGGAAAACTTACATCATAAATTAAAACAATTCAAAAGACAAATGTATTTAAACGTATGATACAGGACCTTAAAAAATTGAATGACACATTTTTCCCACTTGAAATTAAAACCATATTATTATTATGATTTAATATGATCTGCTGAACAGTTCATCACTGAAGTAAACATCGGAAATAAGAATTGCTTTCAAATGGCTTTAATGCAGTGCAACATTATTCACTGTGGTGAGATCAATGGTTAATTTTTTAGTCTGTATGTATCTTTATGTTCCCGAACATGAAGATGAAATGTGTTAAGGTGCATAGTTGGTGGAGACGTGCGTGTGCATCAATTACCTCTTTGCTTCGACTGTAATTATAGGCTTGTTTCATTCACAGTGAGGAGTAAGGTCCCTGGCTGTGCCAATGACATTCCTAAAATGAACATAAGCTCATCTGCATGCAAAGAAAAACATCTCTCTTCTAGATCCATTGAGGGATCTTGTCTCATTATTACCTTGCAAATGAAGTAAAATAAAATGCGTCCATAAATTTGGCCTGGGAGTGTATCTGCCAACAGCTTCCTTTCAGAGGACCAGGATATTGTCCCTGACAGAAGTCTGTGCAGAAGTGTTTGAAAATGCAGAAATGTGTTTCTGAATAGGGAAACACAGGAATTTAAATAAGACCCCCCCCCCCCCCCCCCCCAAGGCTGTGTTTCAGATGGATTGCTTGAACCACGACTTCAAATGATTTAATACAATGGAGAAACAAAAGCACTACGTGAGCTGGGTCCAGTAAAGATTTACCAAGACGGAGAAACTGGTTTGTGCCTAGCCTGTCTCATTTGGTTATCAGGGAGCACTAAATACCAGCAATGTTACAACAAATGGAAGGAAACACTTCAAGGACACTGTAGGTTTTTTATGTTTCACCTTTCAGCTCTAGTCTGTTTGCTCTAGGAGCTTATTATGCTGTGGCCTTTCAGTGAGATTGACAGAGTTGGCGTTCTGGGATTCCTTTCATTTCATTTAATATCAGTGTCAGTTTGAAGAGAACTCCAAAGGGGTCTGACACTTCACCCCTTGGTCTCTGGCTGCCTTCAATACAGTCTCCCTAAGCAGAAAGAACGGCGTTCTTATGGATGGATCTGCACCCAGCTGTTGCTGTTACTGTGCTTCAGTACTTTTTACAGTGTCAGGGATTGATAGTCCCCCTGAAAATTAAATTTTTAAAGCCATCAGGACTCTGGCACAGCAGAGAGAAGGTCAAGTTATTGGCTGCTTGAAGAGGTTTCAGACAGGAATAAGGCAATGTGTTCACATTCATTCACACCAAAAAAAAAGAATTGCTTGTCAGAAGAGTTCCTGCTTGTACTCTTAGGCAAGATCTCGGGGATCTGTGAAAACCGAACAGGCTGGGTTCAAGGCCTTTGAAAAATGCTGTGTAAATGAAGAGTGCCCCAACCATGGTAGGCAATGTTTAATCTTACCGTGTCTACACAGATCTTGTGTATCTGCTCTTGAATTTGATTCCTTTATTCCCACTGTCTAATAGTTTCATGCACATTTTTCCCTCTGAAGTTGTGCTACATCTGCATTCCCAGTCTGTCAGATCCTCGTCGGCTGGTTTCTATAGCAGTGACGGGTATCTCATTAGTGTGATCATAAGCTCTTCATAGTCAGAGTTCAGCCTTAGAGTTCACAAGAGAAATCCTCTTGGGTAGAGCAGTCGAGCAACGTATTAGCAAAGTCTCGAATGGAAACAATGTAAAGTAAATAGGAGTAATCTTACCACTTCACTGAAAATGTGGATGGTTGTGCTTTAAGCATGAGTCTTGTATGTGAGTACATGAAGCAACCAGTTAGGTGAGTAATGGCAAATAGCATCATTCTTTACAGAAAATGGGGCTTTCAGGGGACCAATATTGAAGGAAAAGTAATAAAAGAGCTTAATGGTATCAAGTGGCCTTTGGTGACCTCTTTTAGCTGTTGTGAAAAAAAAATACTTCCTGCCATTGAAGCCTATAAAGGGAACAAATATGAAAAAACGAGTGCTGTGTCCCTGTGGTTTGCTTTTTATTGTCAGCAGCATTGATATGAATTAACTTTTTGTAAAGTCAGCCTAAAAGGCCCCCAGTGAAGTGTGGTGCTGATTCAAGGGACAACACCGGGATTAAAAGACTCTACTGGATATTTTCACCGTATGGTATAAGGATAAGTAAGCATTGAACTGAAATCCAAATGTTTTTTATTTTGATTTCCAAGATGGGAACAAGTGGTTAGATTCCCACTTCCATTGGAATGAGCTCTCCTTGCCTGCTGCGACTGCTTCCATTCTGTAAAATCAAGACTCACAGCAATGAGGTGCTTCTATGAAGTAATTTCATTCTAGTAACCATGTTCCATTCTTCATTTTACTGACCCTGGGGGTAGAGCAGAATCACAGATAATCCGAGTAGCTTTTCTCAGTCTATGATGAATGAAACCGATTTTTTCTGCAGGTAGGTTGTGATCCTGCTGACCTACAGAGTGGTCAGGCATTGTATCGCGATTCTCAGGCTAAAACAAAAGATAGCATTTAGTTCAAAGCTGAATATGCCATGTGTCTTGCAGGTTGCTCATGAAGGATTTATTCTGAACTGAAATGGTTTTGTTCGTATGTCAGGTGTATGGTCAGGTTTCAGAAAGGAATTTGTTTTTTTTTTAAACGAAAGGACTTGGATTTAATTATTAAACTGCAGGAATACCTGCTCACCTTGATGGCTGCAGAGCTCTATATCACAATGGTGCCCGTGTCGCATGCCTTTACTTAAATAGTAATTTAAACTTTCTACTTGTGTGCTGTGTAGTCTTGTCAATTATGAAGTGCCTTTGTGAGCGTAATTGTGTCTTGAATTTTTCCATTTAGATCTGCAATCGTTAATATTAGTTTCAGCTACGAATGTGAAAGGTTGCATAGTTTTGGTTCATTACAGATAAAAAAAACTGTACTTGTATTCACTGATGCAACATTTAATTTAGGTTTTCCTATAAATTATAAATTCTGTATGTCTGGTTTATTAGGCATCTCTGTCTCCCTTTTGAACACTCAACAAAACGGTTAATGGTCTCCAAAAACGTTTATGCTTTAATCCTCCCTTGGGAGAGGAGAGCTCTAATGTGCATTTGCATTGGCTACATTGATGAATACTAAATTATAGCCTGATTAATGGTTCAGTACTTTGATTACAAAGCAGTGGCCCAGGGCTGATGGGGCTATTCCGTTTCCAATATTTTGACCTTTTTTTTATTGTTTGACAAGCATTAGAACAAGATCATTGAATATACCCCCCCCACCACCATTAGAAACGGGCAGTCTTGAATTCGCAAATCTTAACGCCCGTCATTTCCTCAAGGAAGATTTCCTTGTCGTATACGTACTGGTCATTCCTTCAGGGTGAGATGGTGTTATGCTTTTTAATGAGATGAATTGACAAGGATGCCTACATTAGCAGGCTTTGTGTAATTTGTGTCTGATGTAACAGTCCTGTTACACTCAGTACCTTCCTACTGTGTCCATGTCTGGTTCTTAGTTCAAGTTGACTCAGGACCCTGTACCACAGGCCTCCAGGTGCATGATAAATGGTAACAATCGCTGTGTGCCTGGTCCCAAACTCAGAGGATTTCAAGGGTTTGAAAACCAGGGGGAGTGGTGTCTCTGTGACAATCCCTATTGCACTGAGTGTTGGTGTCTTTCCTGGAGCACTGCCAGAGCCAGATCATACAGTATATGGAACCAGGCCTCTAATGGGTAACAGATAGCTTCTGCAAATTAATATGCATTTCGTCAAGTGATGTGCAAAGGGAGAGTCTTGCATTTCTCTCAAAAGGAACTTTGCCCTATTTTTTTTTAAAAATAAGTGACAAATCCAACCCCCTGCTTCCACAGAATGGCAAGCTGTGGGGCTGGCAGCATTAACCTCCTGTTGAGCACCAGGACTTCAAACAGCTGAAGTACAAGGAATCAAAAGAGCTGGCTGATTGGACGTCCAGCAGGCTTGATTGTTAGATCAGAACTAACAAGCTTGTTTTCCAAACCAAGGGATTGTTAGAAGGGGGGAAATACACTGATGTGAGAAATAGATTATTTTGTCTACTGTCAGGGCAACCACAGGGGCTTTTATTGAAAAAGAAAATAAAAAAAGTTTTTTTTTTAAAAAGAGCCAAGAACAGAGAGTGACTGAAGTCTGATTCTTGACTTTTTTCGACAGACGTCTTCACTAGCTGTGGTGCATTACAGCTACACATGAAACTAGCTTTTGCAAACCAAGGGGGTTGATTAAAGCTGAACATGAAGGTTTTAGCATTGCTAAATGAAGACTGAGGATCTGAATATAGTGGTGTGAGGCCTCTTTCTTTCAATATATCGGAAAACTTGAACTTGATGGATTCATCAAAAGCATTGCTGTGTTCTTCTGGTACAGCTCCCATGCTTCATGTCCTGCAGATTATCAGCAGAAGCAAATGGGCACATCAAGTGCAGCATGAAGGTCACCTGTCTTAATTTCTAGATTGTCCTCATAGTGCTTCACTAATTGACAGTTTGTACCTGTGTAGCTTGCTCATTTCAGTAACTAACAGCGTGTTGCACCGGCGTTTTGTGTATTTCAGAATGGGACAGATTATGGGTATCTCGTACGTCAGAACTCGGAGTTGCTCCGCGCGCTGGATGAGCTGGAGAAAACCTGTGCAAAACTACGGGAAGAAAACAGCCTATTGGTGAGTCTGTGAGGCGGCACAATTAAAACAAATGAAAGCTCGTGGGGTGCAAATCAATAACAAACCCTTTTAACACTTTTTCCCCCAAAAAACTTGCATAAATGAGAGAACAAACAACAAAGTGCAACAGACATTGGGGGAGGTCAACTTAATGGAGAGACGGGAAATAAAATGAATTGCAATTATGTATCACTTACTTTATCCACAACTCTAGTGCAGCATTCATCTAGGTTCCACAAGACACCCATTCTGCACAGCCCCTACTACATAGTAGATCAGGTACAGAGGTGAGAAATGAGATCGCCTCTATAGTAATGTACTTAAGGCAGAGCTTTGGGTGGGCCAGGTTGTGCAAGCCCAGTGGACTTTAGCCCAGACATCAGAATATCAGAACCAGGGGCCAGGAGAGCAGAATCAGGGACATTAAAATAAGAACTTCCTTGGTATTTTCTTTCAGTGGTGATGATGACACTGCTTGGGTAAAAGTAATATCAGCTCTCCATCTTTTGCTAGCGGTTCAGACTGCTTCTGGCCCCTTTCTGGTTAGTTAAAAGAAAAGTAGCAAGCAAGCGCACATTGCCCCGAGGGAAGGGCCGGGGCAGCTCCTCGTCATCGGCGCTAACTGCCATTCCTCCTTCAGCGCAAAAGCAGCTCCCCGGAAACGGAAGAGAAGGTGAAGCGTCTGAAGAGGAAGAACGCGGAGCTGGCCGTCATCGCCAAGCGGCTGGAGGAGAGGGCTCGCAAGCTGCAGGAGGCCAACCTCAAAGTGGTACGCAAGCCCTGCATAGTTTCTACACAATGTTGACGTATCTTCAAGTATTAAATCCCTATTCACTTATACGTTCTGACCTATTCAAGTGAGTTAATACATTTTTTTACTTGCCCTCCCATCCACAGTGTACCCTGGCTCCTGCCTGTTGCTTGCTGGGATAGGCTCCAGCTCACCTGCAACCGGATAGTGGTTAGAAAATGGATGAATGAAATTATAGGGCCAACCTTAACTTGCAGAGGCGTTTAATCAGGTAACCCAATGAAAGTGCCTACATTCTAATTTTAACAGACCCCCATTCGTAGTTCCATCTGTTTGATTTTTACTTCCTCAACAGAAGCCTCTAATGGGCCAATTGAACAGCAGTAAAAATCAATGACTGGATTGGTCCTGTTCGACAGTCGGCCTGTGACAACTCCCATTGCTATGTGAAAGGCCTCAGTCCAGGCAGAAACTCTGTCAAGGTTAATGTTCTGCTGCGCGTGGGGACCAGAGGGTGCTTGCCGAGCTGGAGCAGCCTAGGCAGACGGCAGCAGCTGCCTGCAAACACAGTGGATCAGCTGAGGCCTATAAATACACCGCTCCTTTCACGACAAGAGAAGAGTGTGCCAGTGACACCACGCGGGGCATTAACCCCATCAGCCTCCCAGACACCCGTTTGTGTGAAAGCTCTATTCACCAAGACAGTTGTCAGAAATAAAAATATTTCCAGTGTGACTGGCTGTTTTTTTTCCCCCAGTGTCTTAATTCATGTTTGCTGATGTGCTTTGTAGCCATGTGGGACTGTTGACAGGAAGAAGCTATGAATAGCGAGAATTTCTAATTTTAATTTACCAGTTGTTCTTGGACTCTAATGATGTACTGTAGGTTGACCCAAATAAGTCACTGTCAGATCTTAGTAAGTAGAGCTTACTAACTGTGCATGTTGCAGCTCGCAGATTTACTATTATAATTTCTAATGATAAAAAAACAATTTTCTAATCAACATTTACTGTGCATCTTGAGAGAGTGAAAGAGGGTGAGTATTTCAGTGCGTTTGTGTTGTAATTGTGGTGTAAAATTCGGGGTTCCTAAATCCATGCCGGACATTACTTCACAAAATACGTTTTCACCTTTGAATCTGAAACCCCCGTCCAGTGTCTCTGGCTGAAATGTCTTTCTACGGCAGAGCCTGCACTGCTAACCCACAAGCTCTGCTCCTGACTGCAGGTGAACGCCCCGGCGCTGGTGAGGGGGGGAGGAGTGGAGCAGTACAAGAGGGCTTTTGCCCGGCAGCGTGCCCGGGACCTGGCGCAGCACGCAGACACCCTCCTCTCCAAGGACAAGGAGATCGCGGCGCTGCAGCAGGAGTGCAGGGCGCTGCAGGCTCGGCTCGGCCAGGGGAAGGTACAGTCGCTGCCTCCTCCTGTCCGCCTGTTCCTCCGCTCGTGTTGCTGCTGGGGGTGGACTTGTCCTGTCCTCCGACGCGGGCTGCAGCTCGGATAGGGAAAGGTTTCCACCGAGTTTAGGTCTGGGGGGAGTCTTAGGCCTTAGCTGGAAAAAGGTGGCTCCAGTACAGTGAGTGAACATTGCCGGGATTTGTTTTTTTTTTCAGATTTATCCACCCTTTCATTTTCAATAATTGCAGTGAGCTGGAGGCTAACCTGGCAGATAATGGGCACAGAGCAGAAGCACCCTGGAAACGGGCACTGGTCCAATCCTGGGAGCTAGTGTATGCACATCAATTAACTGAGACAGCGTGTTTCTGGAAGCTGGGAGGAAACCGAAGCATCTGGTGAAAAGCCATGTGGATATACAGACTCCTCATAGACGGTGCCCTAGGGCAGAATCAAACCCAGGAGCCCACGCCATGGGCTCCAGTCGAACACGGAGAGCAGTGCGGCAGCAGTGATGAATAATCTAAATTAGTGACCAGTTTAAACCAGCTGAGCTGCGATTCTGTCAGAGAGAAAATGGCTATCCTTCTTGATGGAACTCGGGTTGTCAGTAGCAAAACATAAACCTGGGCTGGAACATGGCAAAGGCCAAGAGATGTTAGAGGTTACGTTCGGCAGCCTGACCATGCATATAGTTCGTATAGTTTATGATAGTTGTTTCAGTTGATCTCAAAGTACATTACTCACTGATTCAGACCGTGGCTACTTTGATGGGTTGGGTATGTGTCCATGTGAGAACAAGGTGCAAAACAAAAGTACTGCATGTTCCTGGTGATGCCCCCAGTTACTAACTAGCCTAGCTTGCCCCCTGGTGTTCGCCTCTGACACTGCAGCATTAAATTCATAACCACTCATACTGTATGATGCCAAGAAAAGGAAAACGAGGCTTTGTCTTCCATTAGCATTTGTTTCCTTAATGCTTAGCTGGGATTTTGTTTGATCTTCAGTGTTGGTATTAAAAGAACAGAAAATTGTTCCCAGAGGATATAATGACCAAGATGTTTCCAAACATTTTTGGAAACCAGATATTTCCCCTGTCAGTGTTCAGAATGTTCAAAGCCTGATTTTTGCTTTCAGCCTGCCGCATCGCACCACAGTGTGACCCAAAAAAACCTGACTATCTCCAAACGAAATTCTTAACTCTTGCATAAAAAATGCACTTGTTCCTTTTACGCTGAATTGCATTGATATCCTTAGCCCTCGTGTGGCTTTGAGAAAATGGATTTATGCCAGAATCCTTTGTTACATGATTGCAAGTAAAATCTTCCAGTAAATGTAAGACTAATCCAGTGATGGTTGAGTTAGCATCACATTTACAATTCTTGTCCCTTTTTCAAGAGCCTGTTGCTACTGTAGACGGAGAGTCTACTGTCTCTGAGCTCCGGGGCGTGCAGTTGATGTTTGGCTTGCTGCTTGCAATTATCAATCACGTTTTTGAGGGAGCTGGGTTATAGGGGATTTTGGACTCCAGGGGGTTTCATTCCCAGTACAAGCAAAACGTCTGTGCCTGCACGAGGTGAACTCAATGTCCTGAAGACCTCTCACCTGCAGCATTTCTGGTGTTCTGGAAACTGCATCACTTGCCAATTCCCCTGAAGTGTTGTTTTCAAGAACTTTTAGAAACTTCTTATTTAGTGTGGTTTGAGTTTCTTTATAGATTAAAGATTTTCAAAGGGCTACTTTTCTATTTGATCATTTTCTGCAAATGTCCATTAATTTTATTTCTAGATAAATAAGCAGACTTTGCAAAAGTAAGGCACTTTTAACAAATAATTTCACTTTCAGCAATTCTATAATATATTCATTATAGAATTACAAAAGTACTCATTGAAGATGTTACTCATTTGTATTCCATTTTATTGCTTAATTAGTCATCGGTAATACACCTTTAATATCTACAGAATAAATATTATACAGTTAGGTGCCTTACTTACAATGATGAATTGTGCGCATTTGATATTTAAAAACTGAATCTACTGTTATAGGAAAGTGTCTTCTGCTGACTACAGAGATGTCTGCAGTTTCCATTCCAGAGTGATATTAAAAACTGTAAGGTTATACATACTCTGTCTCCACTAGGTGGCACAGAAGTGTGATTCTGTCAATAGTGTTCTAGTGTTTTCTGTGTTTGTGGCTTGTTTTTTTTACATTATAATACAGCTCTGATCCTCTAGGGGTCTGTAGAGGTTCTTACATATCTAAACAGTGGTCCATTAAAATGTCTGAGGAAATTGAAGAAAATTCTAACAAAGGTCATGGGTTCCTCAGTTAGTTGTACTAATCCACCTATCCGTCATCAGAAGGTCACTTATTCCCAATAGCCTACCACAGAAGCACAGGGCACTAGGCAGCCTGGATGGGACAGCAGTCCGTAAACCCCCGACCCGCCCCCACACACACACACACACAATGTGTTCAGAAACTGGAGCTCCTGTTGGGAAAACCACATGAACGGAAAAACACCACCCTGCCTCCACATAGGAGGTGTCCCTATCTGCCATCAAGCCAAAAGCCAAGAACTGGGAGGCAGCAGGTTTAACTGCTATGTCCTCTTGCGGTCCATTACACTGTACGTGCGGTGCAATAATCTTCTTACCTGCTAATTTTGAACCATGTGTTTTAGAAACAATTTATAGTCCAGAACACACATTTCAAAATATAAATTAAAGCCAGCTTTTTCTAACATTGTCGTTGTCCTACTCATTTACAGGTATGTACATAGGACTTTTGTGTTTACCACTTTGGAACCATGTATTCCAGGCATGTATTCTTTTTTCCCCAGATTCAGATTCCAGATTAGTAAGAGTTTGGGAAATTTCGGTGTAATGCCAAGAAAGCAGATGACTTTTCCTACATTTGTCCAATACATTTGCACTAATAGGGCACGTTCAAAGAGAGAATGTTCCCATCTTCAGAGACAGAAAATAGACCATGCTAAAGCCTAATGGGTTTAATTTTCTCTCCAGTGGATGACGAGACCCATGTAACAGAGTACAAACAAGTCCCCAAGACCCTTAACTGAGAAGCCCACTAATATGACAGTGGGAGCAAAGCTCACATACTTAAAGCCTGAACGAGAGGTTTCTAACAAAGCAAACAATAGGGGTGACAGTGGACATTCCTGACAAGTACTAAGTGGAAACTGAGACGAATGTAACAGTGTTTAGTCTGGACTTCGTTTTGAGATGCTGTTGTATAAAATGTAAATTAATCAAAGAATGACCAAAACCACACTGTTTGAGAACAATCCAAATACAGTTCTTTTTGAAACAGTCTGTATCTAAAGGGAATATTGCCAAAGAAAAGCTTTTGGTGAAGCACATGGTAATGCACTAAGGTTCCTGTGTGTTTGCTCCTGTGTGTGATAACTCAGCTGATTGTGATATACTGTGTTAGGTGGCTGCTGTGCATTTCTACCCTATTTGAAAGACCTTTTCTGCACAGATGGTCATTGTTGATGTTTACCTGTCATAAGAAGAAATGTTAAAGCTGAGAAGGAGCCCATGGCATCCGACACCACAGTATATACAGTAATTGAGATCTGTATTTCAGATGGGTTTTCAACCCAAAGGAAGTGTGTACTTCCAATCATGAAATCTGGCACCAGATTTGGTCCCAGGATTTGTTGCCTACTGTAAAGCAGAATTGGTAAGATGTAATGCACAAGAAATTGTAAGGAAGACTAAAAGAGTTTTTGTCAACTCTGTAGATGCTGATCTATTGGAAAATAGTTAACTGCCAAGTTCAAGTTAACTGCCAGCTGTAATGTACAGGAACAAGTATGTTATTCATGAGTGACTTGACTGCCTTACAGACCTTAATATCTACATTGTGATCAGATTTAAGGAAATCTAATAATTAAAACACATTTTAATTAAGTTTTCTTTCAGGTACCATGATTGTAACTGCCTGTTCTGCTCAGGTTTCAGTGCCAGAAATTTAAAATCCATTAATATGGTTACTGTAATAATAAATATCTTCCTTTGATGAATAATATATGTATTCCTGCTGAGGTTCAGTTGTCAAAGAGATACAGTATATCTAGATTTGCAAATAGTTTGACAATAACAATCAATTAATAAACTAGCATATCAAAATAACTGACCTGATTTTTTAAATAAATATTTGCAATGCTTTTATACGATAGATATTCAGGGGGATATTAAGGTTTAATATCAATAGCTGTCTACTGCATTCGTTATCTACAGATAAGTGGAGGATTCTGTCAGCAAGTGGGCTGCAAAGGAACAAGTAGTGGTTAATTCTATGCTCTAAAAATGAAGAAAAAACACTATTTGACTGTTGGCTTTAGGCTACACCTGGTGAAGTCTCAACAGCAGAAACTGTTTTCTTGTCTTTATGTCTACTTTTAGAATTAATAGAATTAGCCTCTTCCTGTTCCTTTAGCCCCAAATTATATACAATGTGGTAATGGGGAGATTAATTGCAGTGATTAAAGCAAGACAATGGGAAAATTGTTTGATTATTTTCATTCTGTTTTTCTATGCTGGATTATATCGACATCTTAAAGCTGGCAGGCGGAATAACAGTTGGGGAGAAAAACAGGTTGTGAAAAATGCACAGGCCCCTGTCAAAGATTGATGCCTATTATGGATTTCTGATCTTGTGAGTGCCACAGGCCTTTATTATAATGGCTCATCTTTGTCAAACCTGCTGGTTTGTTTTTAATGTGCACCACATTGTGATCGCAGACAACTAATTGCACGAGTGCATTAATTTTTAACCATGAGCGGAAGGCACTTTTAATGACGCAACAGAGCTGGAAGGGAGGCTTCAATAAACCCTGATGTCAATGAGCAATAGCTTTCAGATGCAGATCATCAGGAGCAGGAGAGCAAAAAATACACGAAGGGAGACAAACGCCGGGGATGGTAGGTGTCTTCACTGCTCCAAAATGTAAAACGGGACTGTGAGACAACCTCTCCTCAGTGCTGGGATGGTTTTGTGCGTGGGCAGCTTCACAGTCTTGGAGTGCTGGTACTGTACGTCAGAACACGCATACAGAAAATACAGTATTTTTCTCGCATTCTGCAGGGGTCTCCTGGCCTGCTGGCAACCAGCGAGTTTGAGACACTGCTGCGCGAGTCCCAAAAAGAAGTGCTGCGATTACAGAGACAGCTCTCCGTGTCATCGGCGAAAGAGCCTGCTTCTGGGACTGGCCAGGAGAAGGTAATTAATAGGCACTGAGCTTTTACACCCGGATTCAGAGTCCAGCCTCACTTTTCTAAGAGAAAGACTTAGTAATGCTGTATTTCTAAGTTTTTATGGAAGTGGGTTTTAGGGCTCAACTAGTAACACTGAAACATTAGACTGAGCAAAATGTCAAAGCCCTGTTTTGTAGTCTTTTGTAGAGCTTTAAGCAAAACGCATTTGATCAGTATATGAATTGTCTTGTCAGCTGGTTTGCAGCACATCTGCAGTGTACAGGAGAGAACCGTAGAAGCTGGGGTTTCCGAACATACACTGTATTGGAAATGGGCCATGTTTTATGTGTTGACAGGTGTTCTGCAAAATGCCATAGGGTTGTGCAAGTCACTGGAATCATGGAATCATCTTGCATGGGCATCAACAGTCTATATCGGAGTGTAACTTTGTGATCAGTTGTTAAAATCAGCTTTCTCACTTTCAGAATGTTTTTACAAAGTTTGGTTGGTCACACATGCATATATGTATATGCATCTGTGAGCACTTAAATGCATCAATATTCATATTATACAAACCATCTGTTGAAGAAATTGTATTAATAAAATACCGTAATATCCTAAATCCTTATGAATATGAAGAGCATATACAGAATGGATTCATCCCTCTATAGGTTTACACTCTGTACAGTGTCTACCCTCTGATTTTCTCTCATATGTCTACACTCGTGCTGCAATAGCCTGGTTTACCTGAACCAATTACTTCTTATGCACCTCAGCAGGAAGCTCAGTGAACAGATTTCAAGGAAGCTCGTCTGTGCTGGAGGAGCACAGCACTCCAGCGTATGGAGTGACAAGCGTGAAAATGAGCACTGCAGGACTCGACAGTACCTGTCTCAGAGAGGAGAAGGCCCACACACAGCAGCAACAGGCAGTCCAGAGCTCACTCTTTACATTCCTTTCTTTTGCGATCCCTCCATTTCAAACACCAGCCTCCCCCCCCCCCACCAACCCCAACACCACAACCCCTCCGCCAAAAAATATTCGTGAGAAGATGTGATCCAAATTGCGAGCAATGATGATACCTGATAAGTCGTAATATGGATTTAGGATCATACCAGAGTGTTTTTTTCTTCAAGGAAGAAAGCTGTCTTTTTTTTTTTGTTGGTATTCATCTAATTTTTGTGGAAGTCTTCAGCGAAAAAATGTGTGGCACCCGTAACAAAAAGTGGCATTTGTTGTATTGCTTAGTGTTTCGTGTTCATCTCTAATTTTCTAAACCAAAACATGCAGTAAAGGGACGAGTTGTGTGCATGTTAATCCCCTCTGACAGGAGAATGGTATAGCCCAGTAAATCCTCTCTCTGTTGCCGTGGCAGCGAGGAGGAGGTTTTGGCTGGTAGGTAAGACATCAGCAGCACCTAAGACTTTTCTAGCTCTCCTAGAAGGGATAATTGGAGGCAGAGGGGGAAAACCTTCAAATTAAAAGAGATCACAGGAAAAAGGGGTAGGTGTTTATTTTCATGTGGGCTTCTGTGTTTGTGTGGTGGAGTTGCTGTTGTCGTCACTGTCGGATCCCTTTAAGAGAAGTGTATTCTGCGTGTGCAAATCTTCTTAGTGAGAAATTAAAGCCTGTAAAGGCTAGTTAAAATGGAACATTCAGGAATCCGAATGCACTGTAAAGTTATGACATGCAAAATCCTGGTGGAAAGATCGTCTATAACTGTGCCCATGGTGCCATTTCAGCCTGCATGCTTTTTATATGAGCTTACTTCCTGTTCATTAGCACTCCCTACTGATTGTCAATGACTTGGTCATTAACGTGGTTTTATTACAATTAGATTGCTTTGCAGTAATCAAAAATCAAAGAGCAGCCAGTGTTCCAAATTCCATGTGCTGAGCACGTTTCGCAGTCTTTAAAGACAAAGCAATTTGCTGATGTACAGTATGCAGATGAAATATAAAGAACTTTTTGTAACTGCACAAGGCAGCACTTGACATGCCAACTGTTTATAACAAGTGTGTGCTGCACTGAACTTGATATTAAATGTTTCCAGGATCAGCGTGTTCATTTGCATTAGGCACCATGCAGATATTCCAGTTCAGTACGTTTAAAAAGTGATCAGGTTATCAATTTTGCCATTCCTTTGGGAATGCTGAAATGTGCATATGGTACAATTTCTTTTATTGAAGTTGTGTTTGAACCAAAGAAGTGTTAACCAACAAATGCAACTTACCATTACTGGTAGTCCTAACTAGCACTGTCCAGGCCTTGCTCCTGCTACAGAGGTGGGTACCAGCCCATTGCACCAGGAATGTAAAACAGTCTGCAGTGCACATAGCATGAAGCCATTGAGGTACCTGCTTGTGAACTGGGGGAGTCTGTCTTGCTTAAGGAGGTCAGCCAGGGACACAACAGGTTTTGCGTTTTAACACAATACCATAACATTTTCTTCACTGGGCTAGGGCTTTTATTCTCCTCCCATTTTTCCTTATTGAACTGTAGGCCTATTTTTGAACCAGCTGTTAATTAACTCTTAATCATGTCTACCTCCTTTACATTATCAGAATACATGTATCGATTAAAATACAGATATAGAATATATACTGTATATGAATATAGATTAGAGCATATTCAGTATGTGTGTAAAATGTTGTTATACCTGATTTGAGTTGCCTAGAATATACTATTAACTAAAAAATACTATAGATGCAAGTTCTGTATCTGATATCAGTGTATGTGTATATATCAGATTCTGAAACAGGTCATCACTACTCATTTAAATGAAATCCCAGATAGCAATGAGGGAGATTTCTCTTTTCTCTTCTGCTTGATTCTGTGCAGCTTTGTGACCTCTGTAGCATTTAAATCAGTCATTCTCATTTGTAGCATTAAGTGTTTTATCCTGTTACTGGGTCACGAGATAGAGGCACGAGGTGGAAGTTCCTATGAAAGCATTAGAGGACACGTTAAAATAGATTTCCCTTTCTGCACTAGACAGCTTGGCTATATTAATAGACACAGCTGTGTCTTCTCTGTGCTTTCACATTTTAGACATCTGGCCTTCACAACTCTGTACTCACAGGAGGTTTAGACAACTGTATCAGTTTGGTCTTGAACAGTGGAAATTGAGGGGACTTAAGTGAGGAATTAAGAATTCTGGAAGGTGTAAAGACAATCAGTGGAGTACATGAAGCCAAGCAGTGAAGGGATCTGAGAATATGCTGTTTATTCTGTGAAATGCTGAAACAGGCGACACGCTTACTCTGCAAGGGGTTCTGGGTAACTACAATGAAGCACCCTGTTATTGTTGTTGAAGACCACCTCAAAAACAATTCAATCAGGTTGTTAGATCGGATGAATAACCCACTAACAGGTAAACAAACTTGATGGACTGAATGCTTTCCTATTTCAGAGGAACAAGTAATAGGTTTATTCCATGCTGAAAAAAAGAAGAAAGAGAACACAACGTTTCGGTCGTGGAGCCTTCTTCAGGTGTGTCACCTTCAGGTGTGTCACCTGAAGAAGCATGGAATAAACCTATTACTTGTTCCTTTGCAGCCTACGCATGCTGACGCAGCTACCCACCTGAACTACTATTTCCTATTTCAGTATGCTCTTATCCACAATTGAAATATGACAAGCACAGGAATTTGGTAGAATCTGGTACGTTCAGAGCCCATTGTGATGAAAAGCTCCCCGTTTCAGGCCCAGTCTGAGAACCCATCGCCAGTCACTGATGAAGGCCCTCGACCTCCGGAAGATACCAGTGGTCTCGAGGAGCAGAGGCCCAGTGTGACACCCGAGGCTCTCTCTTCCCAACCTGAGGACCAGAGGCTGCAGGAGCTGGTGAGGCTGCCTAGCTGTCTGATCCGAACCACCTTGCTCAGCTCAGTCACTTCAGCTGCTGGTTTTATGTCCTCTCACACCTGGATGGAGGAATGGCTGGTGGGACAGCGCTATCTCCAGGCGTTTCTGTGACATTAAGCGGATTAAATCTCTGTAACAGATTTTTGCAATTCAAAATGAAATAATCTGTTATGTATTCGTAACGTTAATACACTTCAAAACTACACCCTAGTGTAGCACAGTTTTCGTAATGAAGTTGCACACACTGTGTACATCTACAAAGGAAGTGATGTAGTTGTGAAGATGTCGATAAAGAAAGGAAAGTGGCTTTGACACATTAGCTTCCATCTTTCTGTGTGCTTTGTATACTGTAGATGTTTAGAAGAAACAAAGCATGCTATTGCAATCTGATTGTAAGGCATATTTAATCAGGTGTTGTACTCCCCAGTTAATTCGATTGCATTTAATTATTTTCTGTTCCTGTAACCTGGTTCAAATAAGCAGATTTTGCCTCTTTGTTGGCCTGTTTAAGCCGCATTTAGAGTAATTAAAGTAATTTAAGCTTTGGAATGTCCCTCATTGTAACCTAGGATCAATATGACAAATCAGACTGGTGTAACTTCCATGCATTTCGGGATTGTCTTTCAAATTTAGATATTTCACCCAAGCGTTTTGACAGAAAATCATACTGGGCAGGCTTTATAGTTGGGGCTTCAGTTTACCTGTAAGAAAGTTCTAATAGGGGCTTTATGTTGTGCTGCTGGACTGATGCTGACAAATGCTTTTAGGAAAGTGAGCTGAGCAAGAAGAGAAAAGAATGTGAAAGTCTCGAGCATGAAGTAAAGAAAAGACAGAGAAAATGCCTGGACTTGGTGAGAATCTATTCTTACTGCTTTTCCACCCTGTTATTAACACCCTGTTTTGTTATGGTGGACTTAGTTCAGGAAAGTTCTGCCAGCCCATCAAGAAAGTGGTTTAACTTATCTTTGTGTCACCTCATAGAAAATTTTATTTTTCTTTGTATTTAACAACTGAACTGATATGATATGATATCAATATCGCCAAGCTAAGATCCAAAGGTAAAAAAATGTTTTGATTTTGTGATGCATTGTCACAAAAAACTGTGCAAATAATCTACAGTGTTTAAATAATTATGCATCCAGTGTCAGTGTTCCCTTTATTTCCAAATGTTCCCTTTATTAAATCTTTTTTAGAACTAAGTTTTGTTTCAGAATCTAAGGTAAAAAAGTTGGGAAAGGGGCAAGTGAACCTCAGTTTAGCTGAGGCAGAGAGGATGTGCCATGAGGTCTGGCTGGGACTCATGGCCTGCTTTGCGTGTGCCCTTGGCAGGAGCATGAGCTGGAGGACGTGCGCGGGAAACATGCGAGTCTAGAAGAGGAGGCGCGGCGCCTTAGGCTGAAGGCCCAGCTGCTCAAGCAGGTGAGGGTTTAGACGCTGGTTCAGTTGCAACAAGCGACGCAGCCGAGCTGAGTCACTTTTAGGAAAACACAGATTCCAAATATGCTCTCCGTGTCAAGTACTTTGCAAAGTGACATGCTTTCAGAATCCTTATCTCTGTGCAGGTGATAGTGTTTAACTTGTCTGTAGCTGCAAGGGGTCTCCTTCTAAATTCAACTGATGGACCGTTTCAGTACTGGAAATCCAGGCACAGTGGTTTGAATAGGTTTTTTTCTAGCCTGCTTCCCGAAGCTGAGCACATGCAGATCTCTGTACAGCACAGAATAATTAAAAATCTGTTTAGGCCTGATGTAGTCCTAGATTTGTTCATTGATAGGTGCAGATTTGTTCAATATTATTTTCGTTAACAATTTTCAATGCAGTGTTGACAAACTTGGCCTCATAATTACGTTTGTTAACATATTCACTCTGGGTTCCTGCCACAGACCAAAGACATACTCGTAGGCTTATTAGCTTCTGGGTGTATGTCTGTTTGTGTCTGGCTACCCTGCGATGGACTGAAGTCCCTTCCAGGATGTACCCTGCTTTGCTGGGATAGAAAATGGAGGGATGTTGCTATATTTTTTGCATCAACATAACATAAGCAACATGTCCTAATTTTTCTTTTAATTTAGTTTACTATCACTTTTTCAGACGATGTTTTACTAGAGCTGCCCTCTGCTCTATAGCTGTCCTCTGTGGGCATCGCCTCTGGAGCTGCCCTCTGCTCTTAGCTGTATAAGTGTAATGAAATGTTAAAATAATATCTTAGCCTTTGGCACCAGTGGTCCTGAATGACAACATGTGTTTCTCTCCTTAGGTGCAGGCTAACAATGATGAGCTGAGGGACAGTCTCTCTACAGTGACAGCTCAACGCAATTCAGCTCTTCAGGAGAACCAGAGACTTCAAGCCAAACTGGAGAACCTAGAGCAGGTCCTAAAGGTGAGGACCCCTCAGCATGGTGGTATAACAAGACATGACACTTTTTGGTAGTCTGCAGTCTTAAGTGATTTCCTTTGGTAATCTAATGCTACAGTATATGCTGTGCACCAGCTGCACGCAGTGTTACCACATGCTTGACACATGGTAATAGGTCAAACTGAGGTGCACAAACCAATGTTAGTGCGTACAATGGTAAAGGCAATAAAAACAGATAGAGATTGACAGTAACATAATTCTCATTGAATCTTTTCTGTTTTCCTGCCATGTGTTTTACCCCAGACAAACATCTCACAGGCTAGTCCAGGCTGCAATGGGGTGCCTTGCTCAAGTATAGTAAGTTCAGAAATGAATCAGGAGGCTTGCAGTCTCATGTCATTCACAATCACAATAGAATGAAAGAGGAGGAGAACGGTGCGCAGGGTGTTCATTGGTCCTGACTGTTCATGGTGTTTCCTGAACCCCCAGCACATGCGAGAGGTGGCTGAGCGAAGGCAACAGCTCGAATTGGAACATGAGGAGGCTCTGACGATCCTCAAGCTCAAACAGGAAGAGGTCAAACGGCTCCAGAAGGTGAGAATCCTGCAGCACATGATCCCAGCTGGATCGCCAAGTCAAAGCGCCCGCAGTCCAGCAGTCCGCTTGTGCTTCAGGAGTCCAGCTCGCAGTGTTTGGTCAGGAGGACCAGTGGGGTGGAGAAGAGCTTCACGCACAGCTGGCAAAGGGCTGAGCCATGACTTCTGGTGCTCTCCTGCAGATATATTTCAGTGACATAAACAATGTGTCCGTCCTCTAAAAGAAGCTTTTAAGCGTTTTCATTTTCAATTTGAAGTTGGTAGCTAGCTTTTGGAGAAAGAGAGAGACCTTTAAGGAATGCACTTCAGTCACAGTATGGCAATTGCTCAAAGCTTCCCAGGGGTGAAAGTAGATTCCTTGGGTATTTGCATATGCATAGTTGAAAAAAATGATGACCACGCTAATAGGCTTCTAATTACAGTAATTGTCGATTTTTGTCATTTCTTGTTTTAAAACAGGCTCAAGTGGCAGCGAAGAAGGAACATGAGGGAGTGGTACAGTTGTTGGAGGTTAGTGGAGGGTAAAGTACCCCCGCCTAATCGTATTCTTGAATCGAACAGTTAAAAAAAACTGGTAATATCTGTATTGACAGCTGTCATACAAAAAAAACAGACACTGAGAACTAATTTGATTAAATCTCTTTAGAATTATGAGAGCCTGCAGGAATGGGTTCTGTTGATTTTTCAGGGCTGTGCAGTTGCAAACAGCTGGCATTTTGTTTATCCATGATGCTTCTCTCTAATGAGCATATAAAATGCATGCATTATTCATACAGAAGTCATTTTCGAGATACTGTGGCTACAGAAAATGCAAAATCCCATTGTGTCTCTGCTGTAAACATCAAGACTCCTCTCGGGCAGCCTTGAGTGATGTTACCTTCCCCTTGGTAAACATGCATTAGTGTCCCTCTGGGGAACCTGGCTCTGTCGGCTCTGCAAGATCAGCCCTCTGTTTAGTTTTATTACAGTATAAGAAATGATGGTTCTTCCTCCACAGTACAGACGGAGCTGCATCTCTTTGCTGTCATATGAGAAACATGATGTAACCTTGTAATGATAGCACATTTAAACTGCTTTTAATGGTTAATAATATTGGAGTGATCAGAAATTCCCAAAAGTTGAGCTGACATAAAGCTTAGATGTAATGTTACTGACATTTTTCAGGAAAAATGGTACCTTTGTTCATTGTCGTTTGAAGTGCATGTATTGTTTTATTCAGCACAGTAAATGGAATATGTATTTCATTGTAGGACTTGATCCAGCTAGTGTTACGGAGGGAGATGGTACAGTCCCTTTTGTTCTGTTTGAACTGCTCTGACTTATTAAAGCTGCATCATAAAAGTGCTTTGCTTCCTTAAGAGGGCTCTGCTTTTTCACACTGAGAGTCTGGAAGGAGGTAATCACCTCCCCTGAGTCTGACTAAAGCCTGGCACCAGCAATGAGAAGCCATCAGACGTGCCACATGGTGCCAGAATAGCAGTTCCACATTGAGAAATCCTTCGCAAAAGAAAAAAAAAGTTTAGATGGGCAAAATAGCCTCATTGGTATGCATTCTTATGTCCTAGGTCAGGTCACTTTGAAACCAGTCAAAGCACATCATTTTAAAAATTGTAGATATTTTTATGATGCACAAGTAGGTAGCTGTGTCAGCATGCATAGGCTGCAAAGGAATAGGTAAGGGTTCATTCTGAGCTGAAATGGAAAGAAACAAGGTGTGAAGAAGGCTCCACAGTCAAAAAGTTTCTTTTCTTTACCTTTAAGCATGGAATGAACCCTCACCTGCTGCTGTATATTTTTATGACACAAATGAAACCTTGTTTTGTGAAATGCGTTTATTAATGTTCAGTAAGCTTTGAGATATCAATTCATAAATTAGCGCATGTCAGTATTTAAGTGCAGCTAAGACATACGTACAAAGAGCTCAAACTTTGTATGAATTTTATTTGTATTTAAGAGCTTTTACAACATTGTGGATTTCCAAATTGAGAAAGTAGGCAGAGGCCAATTAGTATTTTGGAATAGTGAGTGAATATGAAGCAGTGAAATGCATTTAATTTTCAAGCACTGCGAACTGTGCTTACAGCTCTTTTGTTTACGCCCTGCCGTTTATAGACGATGGGAAGGTGGATAATCCTCTCGCAAAAGACAGGAGGCAAAAACACTTTTCTGATGCACATTAAACTTTAAAATCTCTGCTGTTGATGCCTATGACTTTTAATCTATTAATATCTTTTTTCTCCCACCTTGGCTTGGAATATTATGAGCATGCTTACTTTTTTGGTTGTTTTAAAATTTTTGTGTGAAATCTTTCTGTGCTTTGTTCTTGCTGCTAACCAGAACACACTGGACTGCATGCAGGTATAAGCAATACACAGTGTGCTTTATTTCCCCCTTCCTGTAGAAACCCAGCTTCAGGTCATCTGAAATAAGTCATTTCCACAAGATGCTTGCTATAGAGAGCAGTGCCATCCTATAGTTTAAAAAGTAAAAGTCACAACAGTTGTGTGTGTGTGTATATATACTGTAAAAGCATATATACATCTACATGCACACACATGCATACTTCCATTTGAATCATTTAATATGGATTCATTTATAAAAATGGATTAAGCATTTGTCATTAGTGACAAATTCACCAGTTGTGTGACTGTATAGCAGTAGTGAGGAGAAAAAGGAGAATGTGTATACTGTATGTTCAAACCCGTTTGTTTGAAACAATATGTATGAAGCCATATTATGAGAACAATTAAATTCCTCAGCTGTGATCCTGCAGTGGTAGTGGTAACCCTTGGTGAGCGTTAGTGCGTTATGTAAACCCTTCACAGTTATTGTATTAATTTTGGTAATCCGTCGTGTGGACAGTAGGGCTGTCGTGTTGTCAGATAATTTCAGACAGGCGATTAGAAAGGTGAGTGGAACAAGGCAGTTTTGAGGGATGGCGATTTGGAGCCTTTATGGAAAAGGGTAGAAAATCATTGTCTGTGGCCTCACGGTTTTTCTGGGGTGACAGGTGTTCCTTGGTCCTGCTCTCTTCCAGAGCAGCGAGCTGTTTGAGTCAAGTGCAGAGCGGCCTGGACAGGCGCCAGCTCTGAGGTTACATGTGGAGTGCAGGGATATTATTGCTGGCTCCTGGGGAGTGGATTAAGGACTGCCTTTCAGCCAGTCAGCTTGTGACTTTCACAGCCATTGACGTATTAATAAGTATCATTCTTGACAAGATAGAAATGAGTGGAAATGTAATTTATCGGCAAACCAACGTCTGTCGCCTCCGGAAAGCGAGAGAGGAGGCAAAGCCTAAGAGAATAGACTGGATACTTGTCACCCTTCCTACAGTTTTATCCCACTGAAATACTGTGAAGACAAGCAATCAGAAGGAGTGTAGAAAAAAGACAGTTTAGTTCCTTGACCAGAACCTGAATTAAATTAAAATGTCATGCCCACAATTATACATTCTGTGCATAAATTAATCTTTCTGACAGCGGAAATAGCCATCGGCTTACGGAGCACATCATTTTGGTATGTGCAGGTGGGTTGAAGTCTTTATTTAATAGGTCAAATTGCAATAGTGGCATCACTAAAGCCTTGTTTGTGAGGAAACTGTATATTTTGGGGTAGACATGTAGCACAGAGAGATTTCTAATTGAGTGAAGAGACCAATCCAATATTATGTTTTAGTCCAGTTGAGTGTTCTGTGAACTGCAGCACAGTATTCAGCATGGTTAAAGGTAAAAGAGGAGGTTATTTATAGCTTTGTGTTCTGAGTTCTACACCATTGGTTTTGTTGGTTACTGTGCCCCATTGTAGCTCGGGAAACGGCAGTTTGGCAGTGTCTGCACTGAGAAGTGAAACTCAGCTTTGGCAGACAACAGCTTTGTCATCACTCTGCTATCTTCCCTGCCCCCCCTCCCACTTCCTAAATAAGGTGGGGCACACTGCAGGTTTCATACATGCTTGCCCTTCAGAACACGTCTGGCGTATATGAATTAACATTTCACCACAACGCATTTCTAAAGCCATAATCCCGATCTGCTTTTCTGCACTGTTTTGTTTCCCCTTCAGTGTTTATTTCATTATTTCTGTCCTTTACTGTTATGTGCAAATTACTATCTACAGGCACAGTGTTAAGAAGATGAAGGTAAGGTCTGTCATTAAGGTGTAAGAATTATTACAAATTCTTATGCATTCTAGTACATTATATAAATGTGCAGTAGTTTTTCCATGGCACACAAGCTAATGTTGTAAATATAGAACTACTGCCTATAGGGGTATAGGTAGCGGTAATTTCTGTGATCCCTCATGGGTAACACCAGAGAAGAAGCGTTGTTTTGACTTGTTGTTAGGTGTCCAGATTAGATGCCCTTTTTCTTTTGACTATCATAAAAATGATAACTATTCCCTGGTTTACTCTTTTTTTTTCTGCTCCACAGAACAGATTTTTTTTTCCAGATACCCTCACTCAAACCAAATTGATTTTTAAGTTCCCATTTAAAAAGGCATTTCCATTCATCAGTTCCAGTCTGGCCCTCTTGGTGCACTAGCTTAAAAAAGGAGGTAAAATAATGGGTCCTCCGTCAAGAGCAGTAGCATCTGTTTGCATTAAAACTTGCACGAACAGAGGGCTGGAGCCTCTCTGACTGTCTCTGGGATTTCCCAATAAACAGAAACAACTAAGAACCATTTCAAAAATAGGACCAATCAAATAAAAATGGCTGTGTGCGTTATACTTTGTTAAAATAACTTCTGAGTGCTTCATTGCGTGTTTAAATTGTTCGTTTTGTTGAGAAGTACTGTTATCCTGTTTGATTTCTACATGGGTAACTAACCCTCCAGCGCAGGAAGACTGATTTCCGATTGGCTCATCGTTAACGCTGCTGAAGTTGCGAAGGCCGGACACGGCCCAGTTTCACAGTTAGTGGACTGTCTGACCCTGCTGGCCCTCTGTGCCCCTGCAGGTGAAGGTGCAGGAGCTGGAGGAGAAATGCCGCAGTCAGAGCGAGCAGTTCGGCCTGCTGTCCCACGAGCTGGAGCGGTTCCGTCTGCAGGCCGCCAAGTTTGACCTCCTGAGCTCCAGCCTGGACCCGCCCTCCCCGCTGACCAACGGGCTGGAGCTGTCAGGAGAGAAAGGTACGGCCCTGGGCAGCAGGCATGGCGAAGAAGCAGCCTCCAGGTCTGGAGAACACAAAGGGCACAATCATGTGTAGCCTGGCAGCCCTGTTTTTGTTTCAATACAGTGTTCTTCGTTAATAGAACGACATCTGACCATGACGTTTGTAGTTGCATCTTTGAAGTTTGTGCCAACAATGTCCAAGCTGTTTTTATTGTAATATCGTTAGGAAAAGAAGAACCTCTCTCACCCCTCATGCTTTTGCATAACCAGGGATTTGGAGTTGTCAGACTCCTACCTTACTTTTTGCTGAAGGAAACCGTGCATATTCCTGTTTCATTGCAAGGTTTCAACTTGTTCTGCTTTTAGATTCATATGGTTCTTGGGATGTTATCACTCTGGGAGATGTCAGCTTCTGGAGTCTGGATCGGAGCAGCAGTCCTTTTTCAGACATTTCATTAGAGGGTACAATTTTGAGGATGATAATGACACAGGGTTGCTGTGAAGTGTTGGGGATTTGGGGTCACATGTATTTCACCTTGCAAAGAGCTGATGCACTGCTGGTTGAGTGACAGGGTGTGTCTTGTGGTCCTGGTCAATGTTTAGTTTCCCCACTGTCTGCATGACCACACTGGTTATGAATGCAAGGTTGGGAATTTGTTTTTTATAATTCGTCTTACGATGTGCATGTTTTACATACACTTCACAAGCACTTTGGGACCTGTGGTCACATTTTTAAAATTTCCGATCAAATAGAGCATGAAGCATTTGTTAAAATCCAACCAGCTAAAGAAGATATTTGGCCTGCAGTGTGTGGTAACCTTTAAATCCAAAGGTTGTGTGGTTCAGTAGGGCCTTGGGTTTTTTAAAACTAGCCCACAGACCAACAAAATATTGTCAGCCTTTGTGGGCTTGGTTATGAAGCCAACACCAGGATTTGAGGGTTGTGCAAGGTAAGGTATCCCAGCACACAGCAGTGTTGCACTGTGTATTACCTATCACAAATATTGTGTTCCATCATACAGAAACACCAGTGGATTATGAGGTTTATGTTTTACAGAAGGATTTTAAAAGTTTTTTTTGAAAGGCAGTGAAACCCTACATTGATGAATATATAGTAAACCTCCTTTGTTTGTATAGACCAGGATTTATAGTAAGAGCAAACGATCCAATCGCTGCTATTTTAACAGTTTATAAGATAAATATTATTGCACTTCAACAGAGAAGTCTTCATTTAAAGACAGCGAGAAAGTGTTTATGGTTGACAGTTTTTACATGCGAATGAAGGCACTTTTTCTCGTTGTCCAGTAAGAGATATTAAACGGGATTATTTAAAAATGACAGTGAGCTCGACTAGCGAGTTGTAAAAATGCATTTAGACTGAATTATTCTATCTTAACCAGGCAGTTGGATTCTCTGAAACAACCCAAAATGACCCCTTCACTTCTGCAGAATTGAAAAAAATCGTCATCCCTTGCTACACACTTTGTTTGCATATACTTGTGCACAGATGGCACTGTAATGCACGTGTCCTTACTGTGAGCAGTGCTGATGGTTCCTGTCCTGCAGATCTGGAGGTGACCCCGCCTGCTGCCCACACTGCCCTGGCAGCAGAACCGGCGAAGGAGCAGCCTCTGGAAGCAGAGGAGCTGTCCGTTCAGCACCAGGAGCAACCCACCGCCAGCAGCACCAATTCGGAGCCTGAGCCTGCTGCCGGCACGCCAAAACCAGACTCCAGACAGCTCCCACCCAAATCAGAGTCGCTCCCGCACAGCACGCCAAAATCCTGCCCAACCCCAGAGGTGAAGAGAACCTGCCCTTCTGGTTAATAAAGGGGGTTAATTAAACACAGTATTGTCATTTCTGCAGACATCTGAGGACATTACAGGCATATACCCCACACTCACATACACCCCACACTAATGTTACTGGCTCTCGACCTAAAGCACAAATTGAGAGAGTTGTTTTTTGGGGTTTGGATGTAATAGAAGGAGTAATCAAATATGTATCCACTTAAATGAGCATGCAACAGATCTAAGTAATGTACAAAGATTGAAAAGAGATCCACCAGTGATGGCACAGTAAACGGACAGAGCAGGCTGCAATGCATCAATAGCTGTTAAACATTGTGATTTGACTGTAGTGCATCAGTTCAGTACTAAGACTCTCATAACTGAGGATGATAACGCAGAGAGGATGCTTTCTTTGTTGCTGTAATTAATTTAAACAAATATTAAATCATTGCAATGAGGGTGTCTGGAGGTTCATGATCACTTCAATTAGAAAAGTGTCATTTCTCTTATCAGTGCTAACTCTCCTGTACAGCGCTATGGAGCTTGAACCCTGTCAAGGTATTACAACAAGGTGTGTTGGAGGAGCATTTCTAAAGGCCCCTTTTCTCCCCATTTAGTGCAGGAGTGTCTACAACATTTTGTCTTTCCAAATGTGTATTTGATAAGAAAAATTTAAAAGTTTATTTAAAATGTAAAGAAACTAAAAGAAATTCAGTCACATATCCAATGTCCAGTTATTCAAAATTATTCTCTACAGTGATTGTCTTAGCAGGATTCTGCATGCAGTTTTAACCTTGATTACGCAACAATCAATTAAAAAAAAACATCTGTTAAAGATGTGCGTGTTCTTTGTGTGTCCAAGTGATGTTTTTACAGTTTTATATGCTTTATGGGATGCAGCAGCATTTACTTATGAGTTTGACATTAGCAGGAGAGCCACTGTTTATTGCCATCAGTTACAGTATATTCAGAACATTTCTTTCTCTCTAGGTTGACACTGCCAGTGAGGTGGAGGAGTTAGACATTGATGTGTCCCCTATACCTGAGCCGGAGAACAGAGCTCCAGCAAAATTGCAGGTCTTTATTGCCCGATACAGGTAATGATTAGCTTGGACCTGCACGCATTCCATAAATGTGCACTATATTGACTCACAGTGTTATTCTGGATGCTTTCATGATCACTTGAGATATATTTGTATAACCTCCTTTGCTTTTCATTATTCACAGTTTCCATGCGTCACTTGGAAATACAGATGCATACATATCTGCCTCATACAGATGGAAATAATTGGGGAAACAAAGGACAAAATGCCCATAGAACACAAATTCTACACAATAGATTAGTATATATTTTACAAGAATGAAATGTTACATAACTGTATTAAATTGACATGGTTCAATGTGACTGGTTGTCCATGGTTAATCCATCAGAAAGTGCCACGCCAGTTAAGGATATATACAAGTATAGTCATCCATATCATAGTAGTATGTTAGTAAACACTAGTAGTAGTATCTAATAAACACTGTGGTTCCAGGGATGGATGTATCATTAGAGAAGGAGTAAAGAAAACAAGATTGTTAGGCATGCCAGGAGCCAAAAGCTTGTCTTCACATGTTACTGAATGCTGTGTATAAGTGTTGTGATACGAAAAATGTAAGTGTACGGAAAATAGCATTAAGGAAGGCGACTGTTATTTCTGCAGCTACAATCCTTTTGACGGCCCAAATGAAAATCCAGAGGCAGAGCTTCCTCTCACTGCTGGAGAGTACATCTACGTGTATGGAGACATGGATGAGGACGGATTCTACGAAGGTTCCTTTGTTGCCTATTTTCTCTGTGTTGAAAGAGCTTTGCATGCCGTGCCTCTTGTCCAGTTGTTGTGGCAGCAGATAAAAATAAGGCACCTAGCTTAGATACAGTACTTCACTTCCAAAAACGTGTGAATTCCTTTTAGCTTTCGGGTTTCACTGTTTTTTTATGTGTAATGGGAGTGAGTAATGGAGTTATAAACCAGACTAAGGATTGTGCAAAATTCTTCGGTAAGATGACCTGATCTGACCTTTCTTCTGCAGGGGAGCTGATGGATGGGCGGAGAGGGCTGGTCCCCTCCAACTTTGTGGAGCGGATCTCCGACGACGACATGCTGAGCTTTCACCCTCCAGAGGTCAGTGACCTGTCCCACAATTCCTTCCAGGAGAGCAGCTTCCACAGCAGCAGTGAGAAACACCTCCGACTGAGCATCCACAGCACAGAGAAGACCGACCCCTCTGTCCCAGAGGAGGAGGAGAATCTATCAGGCCTGGGGAAGGTGGACAGCCTGATGTCGAACGGTTTCGACCTCGACATGGAGGAGGTGGGAGATGATGCGGTGCCTTATCCAAGGAAACTGACTCTAATCAAGCAGCTTGCCAAGAGCATCATCATCGGCTGGGACCCTCCCCTGGTACCGGCTGGATGGGGGAATGTCTGGAGCTACAATGTCTATGTGGACAAAGAGCTGAGGCTCAATGTCCCGTTTGGCTCCCAGACGAAAGCCGTTCTGGAGCGGCTAGACGTTAACCTCAAAGCCTACCGCGTGTCCGTGCAGAGCGTGACGGAGAAGGGGGACTCGGACCAGCTCCGCTGCAGCATCCTGGTTGGCCGAGATGTGTGCGTGGCGCCTACCCAGCTGAAGGTGGAGAGCACCACCGCCACCTCGGCCAGCCTCGCGTGGCTGCCCAGCAACAGTAACTATGTGCACGCGGTGTTTTTGAACGACGAGGAGTGCGAGATCGTGAAGGCCGGCTGCTACTCGCACTGCCTCAGCAACCTCAGGCCGAACTTGAGGTACAGAGTCAAAGTGGAGGCCAGGCCACACCGCACGCCTTGGGAGTTACCCCTGGACCGGCGGGAGCGCAAATGTGCCGTAACATCGTTCATCACTTTAACAGCAGGTGAGAACACCTGTAATAGTGTCCGTGTTTTTAGATTGGCCAAATTACCTGCCAATCTGCTCATCCTTTTAGAGTCTGTTTTTCCTCCTGCCGTGCTGTACGTTTGTTATGCTGTATAAGGGCCCACTACCTAATCTTCCAGATTTACCCCTAGGTCCTCCGGATGCCCCACTGGATGTCCAGGTGGAGCTGGGCCCCAGCCCTGGCATTGCACTGGTCAGCTGGCTTCCTGTCACCATTGACGCTGCAGGCACATCCAACGGGGTCCGTGTGACAGGATACGCCATCTATGCAGACAAGCAAAAAGTAAGAAGCATACAGTAGGTCAATCGATACTGAACAAACTGTACAATATGTCCAACAGCACAGTACACCTAAAGTATTGACTTAGCCTTAATAAAAATACTCAGTGGAGCGTGAGATGGTTACACTACATAGCTCTTGAGTTATTGCATTCTTGGCAATTTTGTCAGAAAGCGATCTCATTTGTTCATCATGTTTATATTTATTTCTTGTCTTGCTTATTTTGATTATAATCTTATTTTTATTTTTAGTTTATTATGATGTCTGTATTACATCATTGAACTCAGGCACTTTGCACTGTTACTGTAGGTACTTCTTTTCATGGCTGCTTTTTGATTGTAGGTATTTAACTTTCAAATCTCTTGCTTCACTGATATATCCAATAGAAATAACTAGTCCAATATTAGAAAGCTTCTCCGGCTTCATGGTATTTATCAGAATTGTTTCCTTTAGTGTATATTGTAAGTCTCTCTGGCTGTCCAGTTTTTGCTCCTGTGTCTTAATTCCTCCATTTGTGTTCTGTGGGCTGTTTCCCAGGTGTTAGAAGTTGCCTCCCCTACAGCTGGCAGTGTGCTGGTGGGACCTTCCCAAATGCACATCCTGCAGGCAGCACAGGAGCTCACAGTGCGGACAATGTCCACTTATGGGGAATCGACGGATTCAGTGCCTGTCAAAATCCCAGCAAAGCTTTTCGCAGCCACGGCTCCCTGCCAGCCTCTGCCAACCCCACCCAGTGCCAGCAGCTTGCTGGAGGTCAGCATGCACAGCGCCCCAATGTGTAGGGACCCCCTGGACTCCACAACTGCCACAGCCCCTCTACTCCTTGCCTCTGCTCTTCGGGTTGAGCCGCCAGTTGCCCTCGCCGCCCGCGAAGCATCCGTGCCCACCTTTCCCAAAGCAAACCTCGGTGACGGCGTGGGTGCTGCTCTCCACCGAGAGGAGAGGACAGAGTCTGTCAATTCATTGGCAGATTCTTTGCCAGCAGCGGGGGCATCAACATCGAGCTTGATCCTGCATGAGGGTTCGTCGGTGTCAAACTTCCATTTAGGCCACACGGTAACTGTCCTGCTAAAGTTCATGTTTAATGTTATCGCAGTGATTTTCTAGAATTAACAAGACTTTGTGCAAATATGATGTAGCTTTATCAGATATCAGCCTTGCATACTGAGCAAATGGGTAGTCTCTTTTCTAAAATCTCTACATCCAGAGTTTATTACCAGAAGAGCAGAGGACAGAATTCTTGTTTGGGAGCTCTTTGATATGTAATTTGATGCTGATGTTTATTTAGATGTACTTCTACAATCCTGCAGCAGGAGAACTTGAACAGACTGGGCCAGCTGAACTAAGCCCTGTAAGCAGTAGTCATATCCGTAACATGTTTTCCAGGTTGACATCACCTCAAGTTCAGGAACTGGAAGACTGTTAGATTCAACCAAAGACTCCGAAAGCGTCATTGTGAAACGTCCATCTGTCTCAATCACGGACTTCCTGGAAGAGGCTGTGTCTAGCGCAGACCCCAGCAGCTCGGTAGCGGAAATGAGCGTGGAGTCCTCCCAGGGTTTGCCAGGGGAATCGGCAGGGAGGACTGAAGACCAGGTCCCCTCAGGCAGCCACAGCCACTGTCTGGACACCTCAGGGCAGGAATCGGAGCATGAGGCAGAGGAGGAGAGCTCTCATGGGAATGTTAGAGTGGTGTCAATGGATGAGTTCCTGGACCACAACCTGCAGAAAACAGGGCTTGGAAATATACCATCCCATCAGGACCCCTACCTGAGGCCTAAGGAGGTATGGAAGCTGCTGCTTTTCTTATTTTCTTTGCTTTCTAAAAGACATTGCTTTGATACCAGCTGATTAACAACAGTAGGCCAGAACAATAATAATAATAGTAATTGCTTACGCTTATATAGCGCTTTTCTGGACACTCCACTCAAAGCGCTTTACAGGTAAAGGAGACTCCCCTCCACCACCACCAATGTGCAGCATCCACCTGGATGATGCGACGGCAGCCATAGTGCGCCAGAACTCTCACCACACACCAGCTCTCGTGGGGAGGAGAGCAGAGTAATGAAGCCAATTCATAGATGGGGATTATTAGGAGGCCATGATTGGTAAGGGCCAATGGGAAATTTAGCCAGGACGCCGGGGTTACACCCCTACTCTTTACGAGAAACGCCCTGGGATTTTTAATGACCACAGTGAGTCAGGACCTCGGTTTTACGTCTCATCCGAAGGACGGCACCTGTTTACAGTATAGTGTCCCCGTCACTATACTGGGGCATTAGGACCCACATGGACCGCAGGGTGAGCGCCCCCTGCTGGCCCCACTAACACCTCTTTCAGCAGCAGCCTTAGTTTTTCCCAGGAGGTCTCCCATCCAGGTACTGGCCAGGCTCACACCTGCTGAGCTTCAGGGGGCTTCCAGCTGTGAGTTGCAGGGTGATATGGCTGCAGCTATATGGTCTGGTGGTTAGTACTCCTGCCTAACAGCTGTTGAGTCCTGGGTTTGATTACAACCAGACACCTTCAGTACTGGAATCTGCATGTTTTCCCTTGGTTTGCATGGGTTTTCCTCATGTGCTTCAGTTTTCACCCACCTCCCAGGACACACTAGGGGTCTCTAAACTGTCCCTGACCCTGTGTGCTTCTGCATGCATACGCTGCAATGGACTGCTGTGCCATCCTGGGTGTAGTCCTACATTGCGCCCTGAGCCATTAGGATAAGCATCGGGTTCCACAACCATGACCAGGAATAAGCAGCTCTCTGATGGGGGGGGTTGATGACAACAGCATTAGGTCACTTTCACAGACTGGAAAACAGCTTGGGTGGAGTGTCTGAATTCCAAGCGCTAAGAAGCCTTCAAGCGTCATCTTGTTTGCTGTTGCCAGCTAGAGATCCTCATTTCCCTCGTGACGCAAACAGTGGGCAGACTGCCTGTTCTTACGTGAATTCGATTGGGCAGTTTGAGCACAGAGGAATCCTAGCCTAAAGTCAGTGCAAGAAATAAGCAGTCTTAATGACCAGAAGTAAGTTCTTTCCTTCATGCAAATGGAATCTAAAGTATGTCACACTGAGATTAGAGGCACATCAAATGCATCACGAGTCATTTTCATAATCATATATTTTGTCATAACATATATGATTTCATTACAGTTTTTAATTAGGGAATACACAATTACATAATTTCCACATGCCAATAGCATGTTTCTTTGCAGGATGAGTAGTTCAATACATCCGTACAATACATGTGGGATTACGGTTTAGTTGAAAAAGAAGTCGTTTTCAGTGTATAGATGAAAAGAGTGACAGTGTCTGAGTCACTGGTTCTTCCACAGTCTCAAGGGGATTGTGATTACAGCAAGGAGATCGAATGAAAGCGCTTAGAATTCTTTAAAGTCATCCCAGCGAATGTCTTCAGAATGAGCAAATATATTCACACCAGAGAACACAAGTGGAAACGATGAGGAAGTGCATTGAAAACTGTGAAGAGGTGGTAGCTCTTTACCCAAAAGATTGTAGGGGGTCTAGAACAAGCTGCCCAGCCATGCTGGTAGAGTCTTTTTTCAAGTGATAGAGATTCTCATATCCATTGGCTTGTGACTCTCGTTTGTGACCCTTCCAATGCCCTTGTGCCTTTACACAGAGATTGATGTTGTTTTGCAGGACCCTGTGAATGACCACCGGCTGAGCGAATATCAGACCGAGAGCAGCCGGGGTTCGGACCTGTCGGACATCCTGGAGGAGGACGAAGAGGACCTGTGCTCCGACGCTCTGGGCACTGAGGAAGGAGAGGAGCAGAGTGGAGGGCTCGGTGTTGGAGATGGCAGCAAGGTAATACAGGCATCAAGGTCTTCCTAAAAGCTGGTGGAAGCTTTCAGAGTGCCCTTATGTTCCTTGTCCACTTGTGCATCATCATCCAAAAGAAATCCTCCAGTTTTCGAAGGAGAGTTCTGCTCCCTGACGTAAACATTTTTTTTTACTTGTCATTAACCAACTTATTTATGCAAATGTTATAGCGGCAAAACTTTTAAAGCTTAAACAACATTAATCTGTTTTGAAGCCAGGAGAAGTTCTTTGTGTTTTACACTAATGCTGTAATATATAAAATACATTTAACTTTGGTGCCCACTCTTTCCTGTGTTATTTTTTTAAAACCCCATTCCCTCTTGATTTTGTTTTTTCTTTTCTTTTCCCGGGCATGCCAATATTTCATTTTTCCCCTTATTGGGTTTCATACCCTCTGCATGCACAACCCTTTTTCCCAACGTGGTCTTCCTACTACACATCACATCCCCCCTCGCCACCCCTGGCTCCTTCTCGCCCTCTGCCTCTGCCCAGCCGGACACCTGGGAAACGGACAGCGATGAAGAGATTTTGGAGAAGATCCTGAAACTCCCGCTGCAGACTCACCACAGCAAGCAGCTCTTCAGCATCCCTGAGGTCACAGAGGAAGAAGATGAGAGTCAGGAGCTGGAAGACGGCGAGTCTCCCGATGTTTCAGAGACTCCGCACCACGGATCGGAGAAGCGGCCCACAATTCCAGAGACTTTCCATGGAGCCAGAAAACTTGCATCTGGCAGAAACCCCACCTTGCTGGCAGAAGCCAACAACCACAGTGAAGCAAATGACAGACAATCAAGTGGCAAATTTAAGGAAGCCAGTGAGAGCCTGCTCTTGATTCCAAAACCACACAGCTCTGCCAGGGAGTCATCGCCAGGATGTCATCCCATGCTGCAGGTCTGTGAGAAATCAGGTGAGACAAAAGATCCCAGTAGATACAGTGTCCTGCAGAGCAGAAGCAAGCAACATTCCCAGAAGACGCATCTCTCTGCCATGGTGGAGACAGGCAACAAGGCCTCCGAGTACCAGGAGGAGGATTTTGACTCCGGGGGCAGCGTTTACATCCACAGCAAGGAGCCCCGGATGAGAAGATGCCATGAAAGAGAGCCCAAAGACTCGCACCTCCTGGCTGAGAAGTCCGGAGACAGGTTAAGGAGAGAAGCTCTTCTGCAAACCCAAAGGGACCACATCTCTTCTGAGCTTCTGAAGTCTGGCCTTCATGCTGGAAAGTATTACAGCAGCAGAGGAGGAAGAGGGAACAATGCTTCCGTGGGCAACGGCGTGGAAATTGATATTGAGTACGGAACGGAGGATGACGAGGAAGCTCTGGTTTACAGACCAGCAGCGGTCCACCTGGGGCAGATGCACGCTGGCTGGTGGGTGGATGGCACCCAGTCAGAGGGCCCGGAGGAGCTAAGCGACTGCTCCAGCCCATGCGAGTCTGTGACCTCGGAGGGGCGCAGGAGGGAGCTGAAGAGGCAGGGGATGGTGGAAGACGAGGTGTTTGAGTCCAAATCGCCCTCTCACCACCATCACCCCCGCTACCAGCACCAAGCTCACGAGCAGCTGCATGGCCGGGGAAAAGTGGGTGTGTCCGGGACGGTGGGCTCCCGTTCCAGAGGGAGAGGGGGGCCAGAGGCAGGAGAGGGGGTCATCCGTGGGCAGGATTTTCACAAAACGGCTGGCCGGCGGGCGAGACCCGAGCACGGGGCAAAGGGGCACAGCAGCGATGACTCTCACAGGGTGTGTTTCCTGTTGTTCTGTGTGATTGGCTTTAATCATTTGCATCATTTGTTATTCTCTGTGTCATTGTGTTTGTGAATGATGTGGGTCAGGGCAGACTTAATCAGAATTATGCCCTGCCCTTCTCTCTCCTCAAAAGCTCACACACCTACAGTGCCTTATTTCACATAATTTAGTCACAAAATAGACAAACTGTTTTACAGTAAATCCCATTTTTTATTGTCAACAGACATCTTTTTATATATTAGCAGACCTCCACCAACAGTCCAAGCAGTGTTGGACTTCTAATTGCATAGCCCCTAAAAGGGGCTTAGGATATTTAGTGTAACAAGCAAATCTTGTTTAACTGCAAAACTATACAGAATATATAGAATATACAGTACAAATACTCACTGTACTATGGAGAATGACTGGACTATGGATTAGATTTGGTAATAGTGGCAAAGAGGTGATCATGATATCTGAAATAGAACAGTGGATGCAAAGGGTTAAAACCAATATGTTTGTTGTGACTATTTTTAGCCATTTACCCCCTTCCTCTTTTGTTTGCCTGCTCCTTTGCAACGCTCGATTCCTGCTCTCTAGTGGCTGTGTGGTACTGCGTTTTCTCCTGCTTCTTGTGAACAGCACAGTGGCTGGCTGCAAGGCGTGAAACACCAGCTGACGCCTGTACAGTCGAAATTGCCTTTTGGAGTATGTAGGCTGAACATCCTTCATCAGAAGGCATGTGCCAAGGCATATTTGTGCTCACGTGGCCCCTTGTTCAGCAGCAACAATCCTAGAAGCTTTAATTGTGGAAACAGTTTTGTGGATAATTTAAGCAAAAACAGCACCGTATATCAACCTTGCTGATATTTATTAAGCTACTTAATTATTGTCTTGCTGTCACCTCCCCCTCCACTTTAATCTGTGTGCGCAGGCACGGCTGTGTACCTCAAGTAGTGTTTTTGTGTTCCTCTATTGGAATGTGGAAAGAAAGGCAGTTCCTCTCAAGTTTTTGATGTGTGTTAGGAAACCTCTGCCGAAGGAGACCCTCGGCTCCCACACTCTGCTGAGGCAGTTTCCTGGCGGGGACTGAACGGCTTCTCACCGAAGATGGACCACTTGGAAACCAGGCCAGCAAAAGGTCAGGCTCTCTGTTCCTCCCACTGAAAGTAACTAGTCTGTACTGCTGACTGGTATTACGCACGCACGCACGCACGCACGCACGCACACGTGGGCCAAAGCAGATCTAGAGGCTCAGCTGGACCCAGCGTGCCCAGTCAAGAAGTGGAAAGAACGGCAATTGAATTGCTGAAATAGTAAGTCAGAGCAATCAAGACAGAAGTAGAAGTCGTAAAAGGTCATTTACGTGCTGTGTGGAAACATTGTTGCGCGTGCCACCGAGCGCTCTAAAGAGGTTACTAACAAAAGGAGGTGACAAGAAAGGTGCTTGTAGAGGTAAAGACACCTTAACGTTTGCAACAGTGGTGTCTTATTGACTGTCGTCAGCAAAATGAAACACTCAGGTCAAGTCTGGTTTGCAGTTTTGGAATGGTGCAAGTCTGGAACCTCTTAAATGCTAGCAATTGTATTAGCGATTAAGTTTTGAAACTACATGATAGTGTGTACTTTAGATGCACATGAATGGTGCATCATTATTTCTGAATTATTTAGGCAGATTGTGAGAAGGCTTTCAGTAACTTGCTTTTTCAAAGTATATTGTGTAGCTTGTTGTGTACAACTTAGAGGTTCTCAAACAGGAGCAGTGGAACCACTTAACTTTCACAGCATCTATTGCTTTTTTCTTTTATACGTTAAACTTTGTAAATTGTGAATTAATTAAGTTCCCTTTTCTTGAGTCTCATTTTCACCTCAACTGAATGTTCCCAAAATAACTCTGGGATAAGCAGGTAATGAAACAGACAAGCTGAAGAGAACTTCTTTGGACAAGATAAGCTCATAAAAAGTCATAATGATGAATGAAATATCAACTTTAACTTTGCTGAAAGTAGGGTAGGAAAGTCAAGTATACTATTCACTACACACTTCTCTTATTTGACATACAGTAACTCTATTTTGTATCTCAGTCTATCACATTCAGTAAGATACAATCAGCAGTGAACAAACGGTTTTGTAGCTTATGGGTTTATCAGCCTTGTTCAGATTTTTGCCCTGGGGATTTCCTGTCCGGGTAGTTAGGGCATGTTTGAGATGGAATCTATCCACCTGCAGTGGCTCGAAGTGGCTTAGGCTCAGAGGGGCTTAGCTTGCTATCCCTACTTAAGGACACACCCAGGTTAAAGCCTTAAGGTACATGTGCAGCTCATGCTTTGCCTCAGGTTCTACCAGGGGCAGCGAGTTAATCGCACGGTGAGGGCCTGAGCTGATGGCTGTGCTTGTGTTGCTGTATACAGACGCCCCCAGGGCTGAGACTCCAGAGGCCACTGAATGCTCAGAGGTGGAGGGGCTGGCAGCAGACAGCACAGTCCGCATATTTGTGGCTCTGTTCCAGTACGATCCTGCTGTCATGTCCCCAAACCCTGATGCCGCTGAAGAGGAGCTGCCGTTCAAGGAGGGTCAGATCATCAAGGTACAGTACATTACTGACGGGACGCTTGCGGTCATGCCTCTTCTAACTGTGTGTTTTGGTTTTCCCACTCAAAGACACGAAAGTTGAGTGTTCATTTTATTCAGTTTGGGTTTCCTAGGATGTATTTTGTGGCCTGTTTTTTAGGATTCTTTTTAAAAGCAGAATAATTGCTTGCTGTCGATAATTAGCGAGCTGCTGTGTGCACAAAACACTATACAATCTAACCTCCGACAGAAATAAGTCACTAACATGTTAAAACACGCTTGGAAAGAGCTGGAGATCTTCTTTCTGAATTGCCATGTTAATCACTGTTCTGGCATTAGATTTTGTTTGTGACTGACTTCGATTTTGAATTGTCTGTATTGCAGGAGATTTTTGTTTCGGTTTGAACCCGGTTTCTAATCTGTAAAGTGCAGTGGATTGTATAATTATGAAAGTGTTCAAGTTAAAAAAAAAAAGTTTCAACGACCAGCTGCTTTTACAAAAGTCATGTTTTCATATACACAATGAAAGGTGGTACAAACATGACAAATGATCTTTGGAAGCAGTTGTATCTGATGCCTATATTAAAGACTAGAATTAACTAAAATACACCGTGCTAGAATTTCTGGAGGATAATGTCCATATAAATTAGTGTGAGGATAAAATCTGAGAGGAGAGGCTGTGCAGAAACACTAAGAATGAGTGGCCAACATTTGCATGGATGACACCTGAACAATTTAAAAACATTGCGTCATTTGTGTAGAATAATTGTATCAGTGCAGCTTTATCAGAACTAGACAAATCCTGTAGAATAGAGAAGTGTTTCTTAGTCTTTGAGTGTACAGCATATGTAAATGGACATAGAACAGTCACATTTTATTTGAAGATTGGTGCGTTTTCGTGTTTGTCTGTCACAGAAAAGGACAGAAATGTTTGTCTCCTTGCTGATAGATTTACGGAGACAAGGATGCTGACGGATTTTACCGAGGCGAATCCGGCGGCCGGCTGGGCTACGTTCCATGCAACATGGTGTCCGAAATCCAAGTGGAAGACGAAGAGACCAGGGACCAGTTGCTTCAGCAGGGCTTCCTGTCTGCAGAGGCCTCCATGGAGAAAATAGGTACCGAGCACTGAAGCTTCACCACTAACAGACCCCGCTGAGGAGGCGGAGGGTTTTTATTGCCTGTGCAGCAGGCACACCTATCCTTCTCTTTTCTGATTGTCATTCCAAGCAGATGTCATGGATGAAGGTCAAACTGCAATAGCTATTTTATCATGCTGCTCATGCTCTTCAGTGTGTTGTGATATGACCTGAAATCTCGATCTGGTTCAGCACACTCCTCCAGTCCTTTCCAGCTCTACCTCTTTAGCAAAGCAGAAAATGGAGCAGTATATACATGTACAGTACTTGTACTTTACTTAGTACAATGATCAAACATCAATCAATCAATTTTACTGCATTATCTTCTATGCTTTATAACCACTTTAAAGGCAACACCACTATCTGATCAGATATGTATTTCTCTGACTGTAAAAACAAAGGGTTTCTTTATCAATACTAAGCCTAGTCCACATTTATTGTAACTTGCACAGAAGACCTTTACTCTGCTGGTTGCCAGAGAAATGCAAAACAGAAATTGGTGACTCAAAGATGTAGCATGAGATTCGATTCGCCGAGCTGTTGCCAATTCTATATACTGTATATCGTAAGCTTGGCCTTTACCGTAGCACTCCTTCAAGGAGTAATTCCTGTTGCGTTTGCTTTAATGAAAACGTGCTCAGTTTCACTCGCTCGCTTCTTTCACTCTAAGTCATTGAGCTTTCCGCTGTGGCACACATGCCCCGCCAAGGTGTTTCGACATCCTGTTTGCTGTTTTCTCACCGCGCTTCAGCAGCAGGGCTGCCCAGGATGACTAAGAGTGTGTTCCGTTTCCAGCCCCACTCTCTCCGCAGGTGTTCTCCCCACTTTTGGTTTCACTTGTCTCACGTCTGTGTTGCCGGCCGTGGGTTTAATTTATTATGATTTATTTTTTTTACTCGGCTTTCATTCTGTCTGTTTTTTGCCTTTTTGTCTGCTTCTTTATTTTCCTTTCTCTGTTTTTTTTCTGAACTTTGACGAAGGCACTCGTTCGCACGCTCAGCTCCCGCGGCGCCCCGTTCCTCCGCCGAAACCTAGACGATCCAGGAAAGGTGTGTGCTGCTTCCCGCTCTGTCCCTCTCGCTCCGGCCCCCCGTGCCCACCAGGCAGAAGCTTTGCCTTGGCAAGGGTCCCAGGTTCATGACGACGTGACGTCACTGTTCACTGTACATCCCGCCTGGCGATCCTTCAGTCCATCGCCTCTCTGTTTATACGCCAACCTCCCGCATGACACATGTGGATTCCATTTCAGAATTGACACCTGAGAACAACACAACACAGCCAGACACCCATCCCCCCCCCTGGCAGGGAACTGGACAGTTACACATCAGACACAGTCGTTGTTAAATCAGATATTTGAAATGTAGGCGGTTAGTTCCTTTCAGCCTGTCCTTGGCAAAGCTTCTTCTTTGGTTTTTTTCACTTGTGTGTCCCTGTGTGTCAGCAGTGTGTCAGATGCTTCTTGCTGCTTTTCATAGGAAGTTTTTTTTTTTTTTTTTGCGGCAGTTGGTGCCACGAGGACAAAGGCTTTTCCCTAACGAGTTCCTTCTCTCTCTCTCTCTCTCCCCCCTTCTTTCAGTCGAATCTGCAGGTGTCTGGGAGGAAAGTGTAGGCTCAAGTAGAGGTTAGAGCCTTTCTGTTTTCTGGGCCTAATGGAGATGGGAGGGCATCTGTATTTAATAGCCACCAGAATTCCAATCAGACCTCCGCAATGTTAATGTGCTGCGATAAGAGCAATAAGCCAGTGCAGTTCACACATTTTTTAATGTGATGCTTTTAAGTAAAACCATCTCATTCCAACAGGCTCTTTGTAGGCCCTTCTATATACCGCCAAGTATCTTCTGCTTAGTTGATCTAAGGGGGGGGGGTTCCCTTCTCCTGTACCCCCACTTGATGCATGTGAGAAGTGTTGGCATTTGTGTCTGCTTTCCCTTGTTTTTACCTTTTCTGTCTGTAGCAGTGATACCTTACCCGTGTCTGCTTAACTGCAGCAGGTCTGCAGTAGGATATATTGCTATATTGGTTTACAATTGGCACAGAATGAATTAAGGTATCATTCAGGTCATAGTCCCACTTAATTGAGATAAAGAATTTTAATTTCTGATATACTTGTAATACATTTTCAATTTCTATTAGATTTGTTTTATTATGCTTCAATTTGCAACAGGTCTAAAGCTCTTAGGAGCTCAACACAGCTAAGTAAGGTATCAAGCAGTGTTTGGTGTTGATTCTTTACCAACAAAAACAGTTGGGTTGAATGTTTTTGTCAAGCTGTACTGTAGGATTTGATCAATGCATGACAACTGAGCACATGTAATTGAACAAAATATTTATAGAAGGGAACCACTTTAGGTCAACATGCAAGCAGGTATGTCTGAAAGTCAGTCTTAAGCTGTCGTGAATATCATGCTAATGCGCTGTGTGACCGGCTGCTGTATTGTAGTGACTGAATGTTGTTGGGGGTGTGTTGTGTTTTGCACAGAGCGCAGTTGGCCAGGCAGCGGACCTCACTCTGTGGCCCCACGAAAGATGGTGGCAATCTTTGACTATGACCCAAGAGAGAGCTCCCCTAATGTTGACATTGAGGTGGGTTTTCAGGAGATGCTTCAGGATCGTGTGTGAGGGAGAGGAGCGGCTGGGCTCGCACATTTCCATCTGTTTCCTTCCTACTGGGAGGTGTTATTGGAGGTTGGATTATGCCCCTGATTATGGGGAGCTGTCGGGCTTTGAGAAATCTGAGGTCTCTCTTGTGCTTCTCTGCAGGCGGAACTGACATTCAGTGCTGGTGACATCATAGTCGTGTTTGGGGATATGGATGATGACGGGTTCTTTTATGTAAGTATCCTCGTCAGAAGAGTATCCATCACAAGACTAAACCCTTCTAACCTGGATTGAAGTAAATGTATGTTAATCAATTAATCAATTTGAGTTTCATTGGTCACATGAGTGGAACTCCATTTTAAACCAGTCCCTTTCAAAGATGAGAGACTCTTCTAACAGATAGGAAATATGAGGTTGCTGAGTGGTTATAATGCAGCTACACATCCTTTATGCTCATTGGTAAAGTGTCTAAGGAAATGTATTCTTTTCCAGTGAATTCACACAAAAGTTTAATTCTACCTGTAATGTAGCAAACTTTTTACAAAATGTTCCCGAATTTACCATCTGCGGACACCCGTTCCAAATGCTGGATCCATGTGTATAATTAGAGATCTGACTAATACAGTATATGAAAAATAAACAAAGCAAGACATTTCATTTATAAGAAACTGGTTTAATTTATCTGTCTTATAACACTGGTGTTTGAACAGAATCCAGTATTGGATAGGGAACAGACTTACATCAGACCCCCTTTCTCTCACCGCAGGGAGAGAGTAATGGACAGCAAGGACTGGTGCCATCTAACTTTCTCCAAGCCATACCAGATAAAGGAGTCGAGGCGCCTGGGAGTGTTTGTGAAGAAAAGGGGCTTTCTGAAAGCAGGCGTGAATCACAAGTAAGTTAAAGAGACTAGAGCTGACTTGTTCCTAAGGCATGCATGTAAAAAAAAATCCTAAGATTGAAATACTTACTGCACAGTAGAATTAATAATGAACAGTTGTACCAGCCAAACAGCCAAGAGAGTGCTGAAAGGCTTTTTGTTGGATACCTTAACAGTATTAGTTTGTGTTATTTTAATGTAAAACTCTTAATGCTACTTATACCTTTCCAAAAAGTAAAATGTTCCCTCTGATTGTGTCTTTTGAGACGTTTCCGTGATTTGCTAAATGAGAAGGGAAGTAGACATCCATTAATGTCGTTGTGAACACACTCTTTTTTTCCTTTACTGTCCGTTTGTTATGGTTTATTTTTTGTTATTTTTTCCTACTTTTTGATCCTTGTTTGTCCTAATCGTCCTGGCAGAGGCACAGGAGGAGTGCGCACTCAAAGCGTAAAGTGTAAGTGTTTCTGTGTGGGAAGATACCCAGCTGAGACTCAGGCCAGCTCTTGTTCTTGGTAGATATCTTGCTCTTCAGCCGCTGGCTCAGACAGTCTTCCTCACAGGGGCTCCCAGTGCAAGAGCTCAGCCAGACGCCCAGGCAGAGCAGAGCACGCGTACAGTTCTCGCACAATCGGCAAACTTCTAAAAACAGATAAGAAACAGATCAGACTCGAGCCTTTCTGTACTATATTTGGATAATCAGTCAAACAAATTGTGTTCAACTTTTGTTTTTTGTATTATACATGGAGAGTCAAAGGCAGCCAAAAAAATCTCTAGGGCTTAGATGCTGCCAGGCTAAAAGGGCTACTATGTTAGTCTTAAAATAACATTAAAATGCAATATCTTTTTTTAAAGATAGGTACCGTTTTCATTAATGGAATAATGTGTGACCTATTACTGTAAAATAAATACTATTAAATATTGGAGAAAATCAGATCTACAAATGCAATGCAGAACTTGAAGTGAAATGTAGCCGTTTCAGTGCTGACTTTGGTGTCAAGACTTTGGTCAGAGGACTGGTTATCACTGAAGGCCTGTCTTGGTTTATCTCAATCTGGTGGCAACCATGGCAACTGACATTCACGGACATCGGACACAATTCTACAGTATGTTCGTACAATTGAAAGTACATATAGCTGCCATATGGCCGCCTCCCTGTTGAAAATATTGTTAAATCGATCAGCTCCCTGTTTTCAGTTCATAGCTGCTCCTGCTGGTTCTCTGAGCCCTGGTGATTATGTGCTTAGAGGAAATGTTTCTGTGCTAACAGTGATGAGCTGGGATCATCTACCTGGCTTGATCTCAAGGATAGTTCTCAGAAAGGAATAATTGTTCAGTTTTGGAATAGTATCATTGGCATAAGCTTTTATTAATGAGGCTGGATATTGTTTAAGGTGCCTCTCTCTAAATGTCTTTGAAATATTAAATATTTGGATTTATCTTTGTAGCTGAACAATTATTTAAAAACAGGGGCTGTCTGACTCGGTCTTTTTATATCCAGCAATGTGCTCATCCTGAGGTCCTGCTGTAGATAAACGTGTTGAAGAAAAGACTGGGTATCTTCAGACCACTGTGGTTAATTTGTCAAGTTGTTGTCCCAACAAGTGAATTTAAGAACTTCAGTATTAGATGCTTGTCTGTCTAGGATGTTAGTAGGGCTAATGCATCAGGATGTACATTTTATTTTTCCAAAAAAGCTGTAGCTGCTTGAGAGACTGAATGGTTTGTCCTTTGCTTGGCACAAAAATCTGTTATTTGCATTCTGGGAACCAGGTACACAAAGTTGTTTGCTTGGCCATATATATCTACTGTAGGACCATCATATGTGCACTCATGAGGCAATTATAGTACAGAATCATAGTGTCATAGCCTCTTTGGTTGTGTTTCTTTGAGGTAAGTAAGAATAGGATACATGTATGGGCAATGGGGGAAGAGAACCGCAAAATCCCTGAATGAATAGCAAGTTAGTGAATTTGCTAAGTCATTCAGTGTATAAAGGTATGGTTATTGCTTTGGGTAGCTGCATATAAAAAGTGTTTGCATCAAAGGGCTTCTCAGGATTTCTTGTGCCAGCTCTGGCCTTTTTGAACCTGGAACCTTCTGTGTAGTGAGTCTTGGGTTCAGAAGGGAATAGGTTTTCTGATTCATTTATGTATAAATGACTTACCTGGGGGGTTATTGTAATCAACAGCTAAATAAAATAACTACCAGCTGGACAATGACCCCCGAATTCTTCTTATGCAGTGCTATGAGTTATTTATTGAGTTGTTCATTAGATGCATCTAAGAAATCACGATTGCACATTAATATTTCACAAACCGACATGTCATGTGTGAGTACATCAGTTCTGGCAGCTGTAGTAAAAATAACCAATCGGCCAATAAGCTAACATTTAGAAGAGAAGGAAACATCCTCTTTCATTTTACCCAAAGGTGAGCCTGGCGCCGTCTGAAGAGCAGAACGAATCCCCAGTCGCCACAGTAGAAGAGGTCCCGGATCCCAGCTCAGCGCTTAACATCGTTCTTCCACAGGTCATGACCCCAGAGGCTCCAAACCAGAGCGAGACCTCGCCCCAGGGCAAGAAGAAAAAGGGCTTTTTTTCCAAAGGGAAGAAACTTTTCAAAAAGCTTGGATCCAGCAAGAAAGAGTGAAGCCGCTGTGTCCACCCAAGGACTGTTGTGATGTTTTGACTTTTTACACAAAGCCAATAGCATTATCTTTCATGGTGATACAGAAGGAGCATCCTCTATCCTTTTCCAGAAATGTTTACATGTGTGTATAGACACACCATGTGAAACAGGAGACACAATTCCGAGAGGCGAAATTCAAAATCTTTTCTTGGTTACCACTTGTAGGCACTAGATTTGTTGAGCTGGAAGTGTTAATTCTAATGGATTGTACATGGTTTTGTCCAATGAGGGATTATAGAACAAATATTGTCCAATTTATGCCTTTAGCGAGTGGCACTGCGTCTTTATGAAACTCATTTAGCTGTAGAAAAGGACATGTACCCATTCTGGAGCAAAGCTTCTTAAATTGTTTACACATTAACATGAATCACAGAAGAGACTAAGAGAAGACCAATTTGAGCTGCATTGTCTTTTTGTATTTTTTGCAGATATTAGTGAGTTGTTTGCTCATTGGTGCTCTATAATTTGTGAATTTGGTTCTCACTCTTTTTCTCCTTATCCATTGTCATAAATGTGCATTGGAGTCATTCATGTTTAATTTAGTAATTTGATCAGCTAAATAATTTGTGCATGGTGATTTTGTTTAAGGTGTAAAATGTGTTCCTAATGGTTTTATGAAGATCTGATTACTGTATAGCATAAATGCCAGCTGAATTAGACGCTTAGGAAGCACAGCTCAAACAGTTAAAATCTTGCCCGAGGGAAAAATCGTTTTTTTTTACGCTGTTAGCTGAAACATCCCTCTTTGCCTTTCTGATATTTTACTTGGAACTCAGTATATTTTAATTGATTGAAATCAAATCTTTCAGGACACTTTTGTACCCCACAGATGAAAGACAGGTGACTTACTGGATATTCATTTGTTTAATCAAAAAGAAAATGCCACAGTTAAAAATGAAGGACTTTCTGCCCTGTTACTGATCAGCAGAGGTTGTGCTGGTGGTGTCCATCAGGTTATGCATTGCGTTGGCCATGGCCTATCTGTGTCCCATTTGTTGTGGGCTTATTGGAAATCTCCGTTTTAGGAGCCTGACCTCTTTGTAAGGATGCTGTAACATTTCCTGTGTTGAGTATCTACAACACAGGACCAGAGCTGTATCTACTAAGGAATAATTAGTTACTGAAACTGGTGTACAAATTGGGTGTTGTTTGTTTTATTTAATAATATGCAGGTATTAAGAGCAAGAACAGTGATCACTAAAAAAGAACCTATGGGGTTTTGATGAAGACAAGCTCTCAGGTTATGCTGTTGTCCTAGCTTTGCATAGGCATGCTGGGTTTTTTGTGCTTCTTAAAAACATGCCAAACAATAGAGCTTCAATGTCTACAGAAAGCAAACTACTGCATTAACATTTCATTGCTGTGCAAAGACTCCACTGCTGAAACATAGGAAGGGCTTTTTAAGATTGCACTTCTGAAAACTGAATGTTTTTCATTTTTTGTTTTGCAGTAGTTTTTTATCCTTAAGAACACCGCAATGACTGATTCTTAAAGTCCATGTCAGATTACTATAGACAAAAGTAAATATTTTAACCGTTGCTTGTGTTTTGTTTGAGTCTTCTCTGAAATGAAACAGATAAGCAAATGCACCTACCAGGCTCACTCTCTGGCCATGACCTTTAGCGCTCATTGTTACCCAGTATTCATTTGTACAGTGGACAACAGGGAAGCTGATCTGACTTCCCTGTTGCTTCAAGAAAGTGCAGTCTTTGTCAAAGCTGGCCCAATTACCCTGATGTATGTGTCAAGAACTGCTGTTGAAATAGGACTTTACTGTTAATCCTTTAGGAAGTGCAGTAGGCAACTGCTGATATAATGTAGCCTTACATGACCTCTGTTAGTCTTAAATTGTTGTTTACTTTATATGTGTATTATTTGCATGCATAATGTTATTATACCCATGTTTTGCCTTATTTATTATATTTATATATTTATTCAAATACCAGGCTTTTCTGGCATTGTCTTTTTTGACACAATTTGTAAACACAATTGTAGCCAAGTAGGGTGCATGTAACTTTAAAGACTGTTCGGATCTGTGTATATGAATGGTGAATGAGCTGTCATGGTTCTGTTTTGACTTTCAGAAGTCCATTGCTTTCATACCTTTTGGGAAGATTTCTTTTTCCCTTCCAACCGCTATCCATGTTCTTTTTAAAACTCTGTTTTGTATATGAAGGTTTTTACAACCTGTTTTGGAAGCTCGTCTGTAAATATTTCACTTTTTTCCATTGTGCATGTTTTGTGGAAAGCAATTTTTGGGATCCAGACACATTAGTGGACTTCACGCACAGATGCGATGACTTGAAGATGTGAACTGTCTTTCGATATGAAAAAACTTTTTACAGGAATAAAGTATATTTTCACATAAATCATTGGTAATGCTTTGAAATGTGATTTCAATTAGCTTTGTGTCAGCTGCCCTAAAGTAAAAGCACTTGAAGTCCGCTTTACAAAAGGGCAGTGCTTCACAGTGTAAAGTGTGATTAGAGAGAAACTGTGACAATGGTTAGAGAGGTAGAGTAGATCCATGCCCATGGAAACCAAAGAAAAAGTAAATGTGTTGTCACACCACAGGAAAACTGCAAAAGTACCAAATTTACCTTAATGAACTTTCACAATGGCTACAAATGTGTCACCATAAAAAGTCCCCTTTCTACTCTCACGATCGCATTAAGCTCCAGAGAAGCCCTGCCCCTCTCTGTCTGTCACCCAGACTCTGCACGGGAGAATGGAGGCTGACAACGCAGTCTGTCTGATATCTCTTCTTCCTGTAGCCTGGAGCAGAGATATCGGGCCCCACTCGTGGGCTGCTTCCCTGAGCTTTGAACTTCAGCTTCTTCTACATGGTCCCCACCTCACAACTCCCCAGTGTGCCCTGTGTGCTCCTACACCTCCAGGTTAGAAGGTGAAATATTATCCTGGTGCAGGCAAGAAATCCCCTAAATTGAAACTAAGTAGCATCACCTGGGAACTGGACAGATAAGAGGCTAGTCTAGTCTTGTATGTGTGAAAGTCAGGTGCTCCTTAGCCCCCACACTGAGTACGTCTTTAAGCCCTCTCTTTTTAAGGGGACCGTGTTAAAGACCTGATTGTTTTTGCACCCCAGCTGGGCTACTTTTTTCTTCTTTACTTGCGGTGTGTAACTCATAGCAGCCAAAACCACCCCCCCCCCCCCCCCCCCGTGCTGCTGTGACTGTTACGGATCACAGCACACAACCCAGAGCTATTTGTGGGACTCGCAACTAGGAAAAGAAATGGGTACAGAAAGCCGAGACGGCTATTTTTATGTTTGTGACTGACCGCTTGTGTGATGAAAAAGCCAAACGCATTAGTAGCAACAATAAAAGGCAACAGAGAACATGTTCCTTAGTGTGTCGTATACACACTTTGCTGGGCAATAAATATTCCAAACCCTTTTTTCATAAATAGAAAATGTTTGCCCCATTTCAGTTAAAAAAAAAAAGTAATCTTGCTAAAACCCTTTATCTCTTCATTACTTAACCTGCTTCTTTCTGAAGCAAGGTTGTCTGAAGATAAGGCTGCCCCACCCCCCATGTCACCTCTTCTAACTACCATATTTAAAAAAGGAGAAATAAGAGACCAAGGAAAAATGGACATTAAACCAAAACAAATCTCTGATGCCTGTGTATTTGTTTTAAACTGTGGATTCCCTTTTAGAAATGAAAAAAGAAACACAGTGAATTTAAAGTTTATTATTTTTATTTCCAAAAGATGCTTTACAATACAAACTTTGCTCATTACATCACACGGTCTAACATTGGCTTGGAAAATGTGCAATGGGCCATCATGCTTTCCAGCTGAATTTAAAACCTAAATACATAGCTGCAATTCAAAGTTAAAAGCAGAGACAGAAGAAGATATGAGCCAGAAAAATGTCTTGCCTTAAGAAGGAAATATGTAACCACAAGGCCTTCTGCTTTGTTTCGTTTTGCATGCACCGTTTATGTGATTCTGATGGACATCATGAACGGTGAATGCATCTTTAAACCAAAGCGGGTTCTTGGTCCCAAAGTGTCCAGGACTCCTTGCTTTGCTGTTTTTTCTCAGTAGCCAACAGTACACTCATCCATAAAGTAGGAAACACTACACTGTGCCGAGGAGTTTAGTAGTGCTTTCTACTTTATGGATGACTGCACTGTACTTCCGATGAGTCTTCGCTGTAATGGCGCCGTGTCTTCGGTAATTTTCCATCGCACTGTTCATTGTGACAACTTCCCCGCCTAACAGCACTCGTCAGCTCCAACACTTCAAACACTTCAACACAGACGTAGGCTTCTAAAGCCGATTATCAAGTAACAAGGCATCATGCCGTTTAAAAGAAATGATTTACAGAACCAGTTTGGTATAATTATTCAATACAATTAATCTTCAAACCTTATTTATTTGAAAGCGTCAAGCCTTGTGCAACACATGATCAAAACTGGGACGCATTTAGACACCTGTTTTTATTATTCCTCAACAGACTGTAGTAATGTTAGAATTAATCCATGGCATTTTCTTTTACTTTGAATAAACACTTTCAACAATTACTGTGACTCATCTATTCTATGGAAACAGTTTTTCACATTCTCATAAACAAAACACCTTAAAATGTTAATAAGCATAGCTGTCTCTACTTCTTTTGTTGGATTGCTAAAATTCATTAAATTAATTTCTGCTGATTGTTTAGTTTTATACCTGGGGTTCTTCAAATTTGCTTGATAGGTATCCTTTCTAGCATCATTACAAAAATGATAGTGCCAAGCATTACAAGTTTAGATTTACAACTTGAATCGGTTCAAATTGAAAACTGAAATTAATCCATGACCGATTTCAAGCTATACTCCTTTATGAAGTCAGTCTCTTAAAATTCAAATCCTTAAGAAAGTGAGTTGTATATTTTCATGCAAATGTATATTATGCATCAAATTTGTGGAATGTATTAATGTAATATTCCTACCACTTCAAACACCAGACAGAAAAAGGTACAGTGAAACCAAGGTGCCAGCAAAACTGTTGAAAAAATAATCAAATTAAATTTTGAAGACACTTGCATTTTTGAAATACAGGAAATGCTACTTCTGCTTTTCCCCACCCTGATGATTTGCTATATAAAGAAACCATATTTTCTGAGCTTTTTCACCCTGTTGAAAAAGGTTTTGATAAAAAAAGGACTTTGTTAAATTTGTTGAATTCAGTCCCAGATCAACAAAGTAACAAACTCCTTGCCTTCAAAAAACGTATTTAAAATAGCACCTGTGATCATTTTACTTATGGCTTCAAGCTGAAGCCTTTTTTTTCCTCCAAATTCAAACGTAAGCTTTTAACGAAAAAGACTCTCTGAAACTTACCCCCAGTTTGAGTTAAAAAGTCCACACGACAAATTTTATCCAGCTTCTCCAACAGCATAAATATAAAACAATACATTGATTATATAAATATTCATTATATAAGTTCTGAAACAATAAAATCACATTTTTAAAAATAATTTTCGCCTGGTTTGAGAAAACAGCATCACTATGATTACATATGGCTGTTTTACAATAGTCCTTGGACTTTTGCAAATAAGACTTATTTTAAAAAATATAGCGAAAGGTTAATTGATTCTGACTGCCTCAGATACAAGCGACTAGAATGGGATATCACAAATATTACTATGCTTTTCGTTCTCCAATTATTAAAGGCTTATAAAAGCCATGAAGATATTTTTTTTGTCCCCGAAATTTGTGCACGCAATGAATTTTATCGTGCAAGTCTTTCACCGGCGAAGTTCGAATTTTTGTAAAGGCATGCGGTTAAAATGCTGTCACAGCTCTCCCATGTTCTTACCAGTTGCCTCTTCTTGGTTCCAGAAGAAATAGGTCGCTATGAGAGAAGTCGTCTCCTATTTAACCCCCTCCTACCCACGTGGTCTTAACCACAGGAAGAGGTTTAACAGTCGCCGAGCTCACAGAGACAACCCACGCCCTCCTGGGCCTAGCTACTTTCAGTTCATACTGTAGCACAAAGACTCAGTGACGCTCCCCTTTTATGGGCATGCAGTCAATTTTAAAAAGAAATTTTAAGAGGAGAGCAAAAAGAACTTAGGACTTGCAGAGGTGATGAAAAACCCATCAGTTCTCACCCAGAAAAGTCCGTTAGGTTGCACTAGGCCTTTTAACCATGTAGGCCTTCATTTTCCGTATGCAGGCCTTAATGTTAAAAGAGCCTGCTCTCTCTGAATGTGCCACACTTGGATCCATAAGCCTTTCACAGCCATCAGACTATGACTTGCCTTAGGAATCCTTCACATCCCTGCTCTACGTTTGTGAGCACATGATATGAATATGTCAAATGTATCTGTCTGGTTTTGCACAAAAAATCTGAAACGGAAGCACCGTCATTGGGAAAGCTGTTTCAATGGGAATGAGGAATTATTGCACATGGTATAACTCTGTTGTGCTGAGTCTGGATGAGAGCACAAGTAGCGCTGCAGTTCAAGCATGCCAAGTACTGTACTTGCATCCAAGGCAGATCAACACATATGCAGAGATTTGTTTGAAAGAATTACTTAATTTGTTTCTACTACTAATTCTAGTTTTACTTCCTTTTCCCAACATCCTCCTGGCCATCGCATCTGGTTGGAAACAGGACTGCAGATCTGCTGTGAAAATTGAAATTACAAAAAAAATGCAAGTGTGACAAAGGGCTCTCCTGTTAGAGCACATCGTGTTTGGAAAGATAGGTGTTGAATCACATATGAAGATACCAGGTTTTCTACTGGAATCTGTATTTCATGGTCTTGGGGAACAGTTAGAAATGTGTTGATTAGTAATGACCAAAGATGATGAAAAATGGGATGAGGGGTAGCCAGTCTTGGTACTGGAAGGCCAGTGTGTCTGCAGCTTCTTAACTACCTAAATCAAATTAGTATTAGCTTAATGGGGCCAATTTAGTGACTTCTCCTACCTTTCCAGGTGCTGCTTCTTTGAAGACACCCAGAAAGCACTGCCCACCCCTGTCCAATGTCATTAAGGGTTTATTTCACCCTTTATTATTTATTATTCTAACTATATTTTAATAAGCAAAATCCTTAGCAATAGACCCGAGCACTATGGTAACATATTCAGAAACATGTTTAACAGAAGTGGGTTCCATGTCTATTACATTTATCAGCTAGAACTGAATTTCAGTAGTCTATGCAAGACATCAAATTATTTTTCTAGTTCTTTCTCAAAAAAAGGGCCTATGGCTGCATTGCACATGGATTTCGGGAACAGAGGGAGATTGATAAATAGAAGCTCTATTTGAACTGATGTTGTATAAGAAGGAGCTTGCAGCGAACCAGTCTGGGCTGGGAAACAGGTGCTGTGCTGTATTGCGTGATTAC